AATGACTCCCAATTTACTCTTATCAAAACCCAATCAAATCTTATCAATAATTTTAAAGACCTATATCAGGTCTCCCCTCAACTTCTGCATTAAAATGAAAATAAGACCAATTCCAGTAATTAAGCCAGTAATATAATCAATCTAAACTACTCTATTTTAATTTAGATTCTGTGAGCTATAAGAAGACAAGTGCAATTTTAGAATATATTATCCCTTATGTGAGGGTACAAAGCTTGAATTGTGTTATTGTGTCAGCCTGGTGCAGTGATAGCACTCTCGCCTCTAAGTCAGAAGGTTGTGGGTTCAAGCCCCACGTCAGGACTTGGAATCACATAGTCTAAACCAGAGTGCTCCAACATTTTGGCTGCTGAAGGCTGGATGCCCTATTTTTATGCAAAATGGCCACCAGATGGAGTTGATATGCTGCATTGTATCAATATATGTTAATTGTAATTTTAATGGAGCATATCACAGTATGGTTATGGGAAGCTGATGGGCAATGTGAATATATACACTGCTTCTGGGTGCTTGGAAGCTGATGCTGAGCAGCATTCCTCGGAAGTACATTCAGCTTACAATACATCTGTCTTTTTATTTTGGTGATTTTTGAGACTGAAGACTTTGATTGTGTATATCTTGTGTGGACAAATGCAGGATTGGATTGACTAGTTACCCGTTCAAAGGTATTTTTGAGTCATCAACTTCTGGAATTGAATGTCTCCCCTGCTATGGATATTGGTTTGGCTGAAACAAGCAAAGTGAGACTAAGTCAAATCCTGATGAGAAATGATTGGAGGGGAATGACTTTGGAATGAAGACGTGGACGAAAAAAACAAACAGAATCTGGCTGAGGAATGCAGGTTCTCCTGACTCTTCAGCACTAAATATTTTTTCAGTGTCATTTTGCTAGAGATGCAAGACAAGTTATCAGTCGATCAATTCTTGTGTTTTGTAAAATAGAATTTTCTATTCCAATGTGTCAGCCTGGCGCCGTGATAGCACTCTTGCCTCTAAGTCAGAAGGTTGTGGGTTTAAGCCCGATGTCAAGAGTTGGAATCACATAGTCTAAACCAGGGTGCTCCAACATTTTGGCTGCTGAAGGCTGGATGCCCTATTTGAGAAATATCCTTGGACCACATAAGCAATATTTTTGTGTTTCCCTCCCAGAAACATAACATTTATGGATTATGGAGGGAGCAGGTGGGATGAGATGAGATGCGGGGCCTGATGAAACTGGCCCATGGGCCACCAGTTGGACCACCCTGACATAGTGCTGGGAGTGTATTACAATGTCGGAGGTGCTGTTCCTCGGATGAGTGTTAAACCGAGGTCCCCTGCCTGTACAGGTAGATATTAAAGATCCCATGGCACTATTCAAATAGAGAAGGGAGTCTCTCCTAGTGTCCTGGCAAAAAATTCCCCAAATATAAATGAATCACTCACTCCATGGCTGTTTGTGGGACATTGCTGTACACCACTGACTGCTGCGTTTCGCTCACAGAATACAGTCAATCCACTTTACAGTATATCTTGTGAAGCACTTTGGGACTTCTTGATAAAGTGCTATGTCAAATGCTATTATTAATATAATAGAAATGGAATAATGAGCCAGTTCCATAATTGTAGATCAAATTCACAAGAAAACAAAAGGATCCAGACCTTAATTGAGCATATTTTACTACTTTAAAAAAAAATCTAGTGAATTCTATATCAAAGGAGGTTAGAATGATCTTTACTAGAGTGCAATTATTTGTCGGTGGGAAATCCTGCTTCATTATGTAAACTGCAGCGATTGGTGATTGAACTTCCAAAAGTAACTCCCCTCACGTTTTCATAAATGGTTGCTGAATATACAATGCAGGGCAGTTCTGTTAGAATGCTCCCTGATTGAGCGAGGGTTTGCTTATAGTCCACCTTGGACCCACATATTACTGGAAACACGTTGTACCTGGCACCCCATATATAAACTAGCTGGGCTTTTGCGCTAGACAATGGCCACTTTCCAGGTTGTCAAGTTGTTGTTGACCACTTCCTGCACACCGCACTTATGCAAAGGAAATATCATTTGCGTTGCATTCATCACTCCTGCAGACTAAGAGCAGGAAGTGCCACTGACATCATTTTGTGAAGGAAGTGAGGTCAGTGGAGCTTCTTGTGCATATGCATATGTGAAACATGCAGGAAGTGTCATTGGTTGGTACCTGATGACCTGGAAGCAGGACTGACGGCCTTTTTTATTTCCCCAAGACCTGTTATAATAATAATAATAAACTTTCTATTTCATACAGTGTTTTTCACGAGAATCCAACCTGCATACGTTTGCCAACAAAACCCACGGTCACTCCACTTTACAGTAGATCATGTGAAGCACTTTATGTCCTCCTGATGTGAAAGGTGCAATACAATTACAAAGATTATTTTATCTTCATCTACCAGAATTAGTCATTTTAAACACAATTGTGTTGTGATTTTTCCCTGTGGCTTAGCATAGTATTGCGAAATAGGAAATAAGAAGTCACATTTGATTTCTACCCCGCCTGTGCTGAGTTTGCAAAATTCAGCCTAAGAATGAGGAATATTTGCCCAAATTTTCATTTTGATTGTTATCTAATGACCCTGCTGAATGTCCATTTGTGGCTACTTAACAAGGAGAGGCATGTACTGGCTCAGTTGTGGTGCTGCCCCTCGATTAAATAACCTGCCAAAATTTGCATTCAGACTTCAAATAAATAATAATTGCACAAAATGGATGGTCCTTAAAAAACTGGCAGAAAATGAACTGTTGTTCTTTGTAGCTTGTGCTTTACAATTTTAACTAAACTCCGATATGGCATCTTATCAAACGGCTTTTAAAATCCATAGTCAATTAACTTTACAGTATATTCTGTGAAGGGTTTGGAGATGTCTCGAAGACATAAGGTGCTATTATCAAATGCAAGGATTATTATTATTGCATCTATTGCGTTACCTTCATCAATGCACTCAGTTATTTCTTCAAAGAGCTCAATTAAATTTGTCAAGCACAACTTGCCTTTACAAATCCATGGTGGTTGTTGTCAATTAACCCATGTCTTTCTAAGTGAGTATTGATTGTATTAATACAATGATTTGTATTCATACAATTATATTCATATAATTGAATTAAGCACTCTCAGGCGCTGCCCAGCGTGGACAGTGCAATATAAATGCAAGTTGTTTTTGTTAACACTGGGATGAAATTTCAGTCGCAAATATTTCAGTGTACGCAGAACTCATCAAATTGTCTTCCACCATCACAGATTCCTTATTTGGTACAAGCACATTTACCCAAAATATACTGGTGCTAATGAAAGTTTCTCTCTTTAATATTATCAACATTTGACTTGACTGCTTTTGCTTGATAATGTGACAGTGTGAGAATGCTAAAGCAGAGTGCTAACACAGAATGAGTTTAGAGCATTGGATACCAAATGCAAGGTGGTGGAATACAAAAGAAAAAAATAATTAAATTGAAAGAGCAACTCCAGTAGCCAGGAATTCTTGATTTTTTTAAAAAAACTACTACAATGAGTTTGCCTGGATCCTTTAAATAAAAATTAACCAATTTAGCAGAACAATGACATCATTTAACAGTGACACACATTAGATGAATATCTTCACCCGCAGTAGAGTGAAAATATCAATTATCATCAATAAAAACTTTACATGAATCAAGTACTATCTGAAGTAATCAAAACATCTCTTTATTGCGACATCCCTGGCTGCACCATCAAAAGGAAAGTGAAATTGAAAACAATTTCTCTCCGTGGCCAGTTACCATTTTTTATACCATGCTCCACAACGTTGATTTGATTTCGACTGTAGTTTGAACATGCCCTTGGATATCTAAATTGGTGTAGGTCAGATGAGGACAGGAGCAAGCTTATTTGTGTTCCCCTATGGTCACACAGCCTGCCAAAACACAGTCGAGGCTCATGCTTGTACAATACCTACTTGGGTGTGGTACAATACAATATGAAATTACATTTATATGAGCAACGTTCACATCGGAAGGATGTCCCGAATCAGTATTGGTTGGGATCCTTAATTGGGGATGGGAGTTGAGGGGGCTCGGGAAGGGAAAGATAACCGAAAGCACGGTCAAACAAGCAGACCATGAACGGGATGAGGGAAGGAGTGAGCTGGACAGAATCTGGGAAAGAGTCCAACAAATTGGGACAGAAATTCTGAAAGTGACCCGCCAATGGTGATCAGGGAAATGAAGCAGGTGCAGATTGCAGAACAGCTGACTCCTGTGGACCTATTATATATCAATAATAAAAGGCAAAAGGAGTCAAAATCGGCTTCCACCATCTTTTCAGGCAATGCATTCCAGATCTGAACAACTGTAAGATTTTGATGCTTCATACAATAATTGTTTTTTGTAGGAAATGTCACATAGAAACATTAGCTGAAGAGTCAGCTATAAATGCTTATTTACTGATCCAAGCCACCTTGAAGGTGTTTAATTACCAACAACAGTTGTGAATAGCAGATGTTGAGAATGAATACCATGCAATTTATCTAAATGAGGCATTGAGCTCTTCATGTGGCCTTTGTTTCTTGTTCCTTTGTGGGTTTCTGATTGACAGGAACCTTATAAAGGACATTATGGTTCTTTACATGGTTGGACTCTATTCATTGTATCTCAATTTATTCATAAATTTCCAGAATAAAACATTTGGTAATGTACATTTTGTTTTTAGAAAATAATTATTTTAAGGCTTTAAGCATCCAAATTGTTACCTGAACTAAGATATTGAATGGTTATGGGTCCACTCTCCTTTTTCCTTAATTTCTCTTTCTCTTTGAGAGTAAGAATTCAAATGCAAACACAACCTTCATTAGTGGTTAAACAGTAGTTCTGCTATAATTGAATATTTCAAGTTCAGTAGATATGTGGTTTCTAATCCTTGAAGCTGAACTGCACACAAGACTGACTTAAAGCTGCTATTACATTGCAATTATTTTTCCTCCCACAGACATTGGGAACTATTACAGCAGTGCCCATTAAGGTCCCCCAAGTCAGCTCATTGCAGAGGTTGGCAGGCCAAGGACCAGCAGTGCTACCTCAGGTAAAGATACAAATATTGATAAAGATGGAATGTGAACTTTCTTGTGCTGATACTTAAGGCATCAGATACTGTACCTAAATTTGTGAAATTGGAATCCCAAATCATATTATTATATATTTTATTATATAAATGTAAAGTTACCAGTACTGTACTTCACAGATGTCAATGAGATAATGGATGGGGAATAGGGAGTTCACAAATCAAACCAAAAGGATTATAAACTCTACTGGTGTTGAGTAATATATTTAATTACCAAGGATTTCAAACTAATATTTTTTAACAGCAACAGACTGTGCATTTTTCTAACTTTCAACCAGAATTTAGAGGTCCTTGGCAAAAAATAGAACGCATGTAAGAAAACAATTATTCCTGTTCACAGATGTAGCCATTACAGTCTCTTTGGTAAATAGCGATCTCAGCTGGTCAGTTCAGTTATTGGCCTATTGAGCTCAAGAATGGTAATGACCAAGTTGTCCTTATTTCATAAGCTAGTATAGAATTATTCGCATCAGTAAATTTACCAATGAAATGCTTACTCTGACTAAATTCAATGGGATGATCTTTGGGATGCACACAGCTTCTCATCATCAATATCTCTGGAATGGTCTTGAGATTGAGGAGTTGAGTTTCAGGTAGTACAGAAAAGTAAGTATTCCTCACTGCAGGTAAACTGTTTTAGTTTTCTAACTTTTTCTAACCTAATGAATCTGAAGTACTCCCCTCAGTTTTTATTCAGTCCTTGCCCAAGACTGCTTTCTTTCATCTTCACCACATTTCCCACCTTCATCCATGCACATAAAAGCGCCACCAAAGACCTCATTCACAACTTTGTTACCCCCTAACTTGAATTCTCTAATGCGCTTTTCGCTGATCTCACTAGTTCCACCATCCGTCCTGTAGCTCAGTGGCTAGAGCACACGCCTTACAAGCAAGAGACCCGGGTTCGATTCCCAGTAGGGCAAAATATTGGGCAAGTTTCCTTACTCCTCACGCCTCTGTTTACCTTACAGTAAGTAGGAACTTGGTTGTAAGTCAATTGGCAGATCCCTTTTCTGGGGGTAATATTTCCTTCAAAATAATAATAATAATAAAATTGGTCACTTCAATCCACAACTGTTTGTGGTACACTGATGTGCGTGATTGGCTGCGGCGTTTCACCCACAAAATATACAGTCAATTCACTTTACAGTATATTTCTGTGAAGCGCTTTGAGACATCTCAAAGACGCTATATCAATGCAAGGATTATTATTATTATCCATAAGTGCTACGTCATTCAAACCTCTGTTGCCCATATCCTCACACGTACCAAACTCCACCTGCTAAACACCTTGCCTCCCAACAAATCTACTTCAGGGTCTTTGCCCTCACCTATAAATCCCTTCACACCCTCATACCTCTCAATGTCTATGATTTCCTACCCCCACACTAAAAACAGGAGTAGGCCATTCAGCCCCTCAAGCCTGTTCCGCCATTCTGTAAGATCATGGCTGATCTGTACCTCAACTCCAATTACCAGCCCTTACCCTCTGTCTCTTAATACTCTGACCTAACAAATATCTATCCACCTCAGTCTTGAAAATGTGAATGGATCCAGCATCCACAACCTTTTCGAGGAGAGCATTCCAGATTTCCACTGCCCTTTGGGTGAAAAATTGCTTCCAACTTTTACTCCTAAATGGCCTAGCTCTAATTTTATGATTATGACCTCTTCTGGATTTTCCCACCAGAAAAAAATGTTTCTCTGTAGCTACCCTATCAAATCTCTTTATTATTTTAAAAAATTCAATAAGATCACCTCTCAAACTTCTAAATTCAAGTGAATAGAGACCAAGTTTATCAACCTGTCCTCAGAATTTAACCCTTTAAGTCTGGTTTCATTCTGGTAAATCTGCACTGTACCCCCTCCAGAGCCAATATATCCTTCCTGAGGTGTGGTGCCCAAAACTGAACGCAGTACTCCAGATGGGGTCTCACCAAGGATCTATATAGTTGAAGCATCATTTCCTCTCCTTTATATTCCAATCCCCTTGAGATAAAGGCCAACATCCCTTTAGCCTTTTTGATAACTTTTTCTACTGTGAGCTTGTCTTTAGTGATTTGTGTATGTGGACACCCAAATCCCTTTGCTCTTCCGCAGTTCTTAGTTTCGTACCATTTAGAAAATATTCTGTTTTTCTATTTTTGGATCCATAATGGATGACCTCACACTTCCCCACATTGAATTCCATCTGCCATTAGTCCCTTTGTAACTTCCTGCTCCCATCTACACAATTTACTGTGCCTCCTAACTTTGTGTCATCTGCAAATTTGGATATAAAACTCTCTATTCCTTCATCCCAAGTCATTTATATGTATGAGACCCCAGTACAGACCCCTGGGGAACACCATTTGTCATATCCCACCAATCAGAAAACGTTCCTTTTATCACCACTCTATGTTTCCTGCATCCCAACCAATTACTAAGCCATATCACAAGGTTACTGTATTATTTGTCAGTCCACAACACAATTTAGATTCAATAGCTCCTTTATTTCAACCATTCTCTTCAATATTTTGCCCAGTTCCTTTCCCATAATACTTTTATGCTACCTGCTTGCTTCTCATTGGTCAGTGTCCAATTACAAATTTAGCCTTAAAGCAATATGCAACAGTTACCTCCAATTCCATGCGCTTTTATTTGTGCTGTACCTCTTGTGCGGAACCTTATCAAATGCCTTCTGGAAGTCCATGTAGATGATATCCATAGACTCTCTCTTATCCAGCATGTTAGTGACCTCCTCAAAATTACAACTAGATTTGTCAGGCATGACCTACCCTTCACAAATGCATGCTGACTCTCTTTGATTAGCTCATACTTGTCCAAATGCTCAGTCACTCTGTACCTGATAAGAAGTTCCAGTAACTTCTCCACAACCAAAGCTAAGCTAACAGGTCTGTAGTTACCTGGTTTCTGCCTCCCTCCCTTATAATTAATGGAGTGTTTACCCTCTCCAGTTGGGAAATTCAGACCTGCTGCGCATCTCTACCCCTCTATTCCACCATCAGTGACCGAGCCTTCAGCAACAACAACCTGCATTTATATACCGCCGTTCATGTGGCGGAGTGTCCTGGAGCGCTTGCCCCACCTTTTAAGCTCATTTCCCCTACCCTTCTGCCTCACTCCTCTCTGTCTTGAATTTGTGTCTAAGAGCCTACCTCAACGATCACCTCCCTCCCTCCCTCCCTCCCTTGTTCAGCATCTGTCACCAACCCTGTGAAGTGCTTCAACATGTTGTTCATTGTGAAGAACACTACATAAATACAAGTTGTTGTTTGTTTTCCTTCCTCTTTAAGCATTCGTTAATAAATTAATTTTCAAGAGTCAGTACCTCATCATCTCCATCCTGGTGTTGACTGAGTTCTTTTATTTTGGTTTACCCATATCAAAACCCATTTTAAATGCTCACCATTTAACAGATTCTTGCACAGAACTTTACAATTAAAATGCTGACAAATAAGTGAAATTACGAAGTGGAACATTACACAGTAGATTTCAAGCACTGGCAGTGGAATGAATGTTCAGTGTCCCAAACATTGGAAGAAGGTTGCAGATTGAATTCCTGCTTTGTGCTGAGTGAGCCGATATCAGCAGTGGGAGTGCTACTATTGGTTTTATTGCCTTTGGGGTACAGAGTGGAAGAAACAGTTCCCGATTGCTATCCAGTAACTTCAACTAGCAAAATAGATGTTAGACCAGATCAACTTCAGCATTGATGCTCTCCAGGGTTGAATAGCTTGCCCACACTCATTGTTGAGTCTTGCACATGAAAATACCCACTTGGGCACAAAACTAGTGCAAAGACCTGCGCATGTAGGAGAGACAGTTGATACCCCCCCACACAAACACACAATTCATGTATCTCATACTTTTGTTAAACCTAACTAGCTTTGTTTAATACATTTCACTTGCATCAATCCTTGCAATCATGGCACCCCAGTGATATTCCGAAATTCAGAACGAGCTGGATTGCTTATTGTGAATTCCAGTAACCTTATGTGCATACATTTTTTATTTACAGTTGCAAAGTGAACACGATAGTATAAGTCAGGGTGGTCCAACCTTTTCGCAGCCACAGGCCAGATTCACATTTGAGAAAGGTCCACAAGCAGCATCTGGCCCGAGACCATTTCCAACATTCCAGCTTCCGCTCTCTCCCTCCCTGGTGAACGTCTTCCTATGGCAGCTCCTCTCCCACCCTTCCCCCCTCTCTCTGACCCCTCTCTCCCCATCCCCCTTTCTCTCCCCTTCTCCATTCTCTCCCACTTACTCCCGCCCTCTCCTCCTTCCTCTCCTCCCCTGTTCGCCAGGGAAGGAGGGTGGGAGTGGAAGTTGGAATGTTGGAAATGAACTCGAGCCAGATAATATCACCCACTGGGCTGGATCCGGTCCATGGGCCGCCTATTGGACCACGCTGGTATAAAGTAGTATAAAGTAGATTAAATGGTATGAAGTATAAAGTAGTTGTCACATTTTGGTTTATAGGGCTGTGTCAGCAACAACAACAAAATTACATTTGTATAGTGCCATTAACGTCGGGAGGACGTCCCAAGGCGCTAGACAGTCAGTATTTCGGACCCGAGATGGAGGTTGGGATTGGGGAGGGTGGAGGGCAGGTGGGGAAGTAGGATGATCGAAAGCACAGTCGAAGTGGAGGTTCTTGAGATGGGTCTTGAAGGAGGCAAGGGGGGGGGGCAAGGTGGAGGGACTGCGGGATGGAATTCCAAAGGTGGGGGCAGAGTGGCAGAAGGCCCGCTCGCCAATGGTGGGGCAGGTGAGGTGGGGGACATGAAGCAGCCCGGAGCCCGCTGAGCAGAACTAGTGGGCAGGATGGTAGGGGGTTAGGTGGTCTCAGAGGTAGGGGCGAGCGAGGCCATGGAAGGCTTTGAAGCTGAGGACCAGGATTTTGAACTGTATCCTCCGTGTGATGGGAAGCCAGTGGAGTCAGGCGAGGATGGGGGTGATAGGGTCATGGAGCCTGGTGCGGGAGGACAAGGGCTGCAGTTCTGAATGATCTGCGGCCTATGGAGGGAAGAGTTGGGGAGGCTGACGAGCAAGCAGTTTGCATAGTCAGGCCTGGATGTTATGAATGCTCTACGTGGGTTTCAGCGGCCTGTGGTCTGAGACAGTGGTGGAGCTGGGCGATGTAGCGGAGGTGGGGGAAGGCAGAGCAGGTCATGGGACGGATTTGGTGTAGAAAGGATAGTTGAGGGTCAAACAAGATGCCAAGGTTCTGGACTGGCTTAGTGATGTGGAGTGTGCATTCATGGATGGTGATGCTATCAGTGCCTGAGATGGTGAGAGTGCTGACTTGAGCCAATCAGGAGGGCCGGTTTTGTTGACGTTCAACTGAAGAAAGTTAGCTCTCATCCAGGACTTGATGTCTGACATACATTCTGTCAGGACAGCAATGGCCCTGGAGTCAAGGGTGGAGGCAGAGAGGTATAGTTGGGTGTCATCTGCATACATTTGGAAGTTAACCTCATATCTGTGGATGATGTCACCAAGAGGGAGCATAAAGATATTGAAGAGGAGGGCACTGAGGACAGAGCCTGAGACGCATGAGATGGTGTGGGGGCTAGAGGAGAAACTTCTTGTGGAGATGAAGTGAAGGCGGTGTGAGAGGTACAATCTGAACCATTCGAGGACAGAACCGTGAAGGTTGAGGTGAGAGGAGAGGTGGTGGATGAGGATAGAGTGGTTAACGGTGTCGAAGGTAGCAGAGAGGTTAAAGAGGACGAGAAGGCAGAGGGAGCCCTGGATGGACAGAATGTCATTTGTCACTTTGGCCGGGGCTGTTTCTGTGCTGTAGGCAGCATGGAAAACCTTTTGGAAGGGTTCTTGAAGGAAGTGGCATGAGAGAGAGGATGAAACTGGGAAGCAACGACTCGTTCCAGGACTTTGGAAAGGAAAGTGAGGTTTGAGATGCTGTGGTAGTTTGAGAGCAGGAATGGATCCAGGGAGCATTTTTTTAAGGATAGGAATGATGGGGTGGGAAGGGGTGGGAATGGTACCAGTGGACAGGGAGAGGTTTATGATGTCTGTGAGTAGAGGGGCAAAGAGGTTGAGCTGGGAGGTAAGGAGAGGGGTAGGGATGGGGTCGAGGGAGCAGATGGTCGGTTTCATGCAGGTTATAGTGGTGGTGAGAGAGGAGTGGGAGACAGGTTCGAAGGTGTGGAGGGAGGGATGGGTAGGGGCCGGGCTGTGAGGGGGAGATGAGCTGGAGTAATAGACAGAAGGACAGAGGCAGCTGAGCGGATCCCCTCGACTTTGGATTCGAGGAAGTCCAGCATTGCCTTGCAGTTGATATTGGCGATGAGGATGGACGAGGCGTGAGAGGGTGGGCAGAGGAGCCAGTTGGCGATGGAGAAGAACAGCTTCTGCTGTTTGATTCTGTTGACAAGGTGGAACTTCACTTCAGAACAATGTTCTTGTATATTTTTCACTGTAGGTGATGGAGTGCTAAGTTTTTGTGCTCAATATATGCTGCTGAAGGTGAAAAATTTAATATGTTACGTTGAATGCATTAAAATAAGTTAATACCTTTAAAATAAGTTTAATAGCAATGTTTTTTACATGTGTAATTGCTCACAATTGTCACAGGGTGGCAGGCGAGGAGCATTATACTTGATGTTTGTGCAGCTCAAACCAGAAATAAATCAGTTGATTGCTTCTCGTACAACAAATTTTGGACAATAGATATAATTTCCAGATTTCACATAACACAACTGTAACCTCCTGAGCTGGGAAACGACAATCCTTGAGTAACTTCTCAATGACTTATTGTTCATACTGATGGTATCCTTTTCAGATACATTGGAAAAGGGTCTATATTTCTGTTGAGTGCCACATTTTGCATTCCATAGGTCAGGCAACACAAAATATATCTTGACCCTGTGTGCAACAAGTGTAAGTATTGAAAATATTTTTTAAAACTCCTTTATCTGTTCTATGTAAACATTAATGTTGCATAAAATTGTTAATCTCAATTCTCTTCCTCCCTATGAATATAATCCTCTTAACCTGCTCCATTGCAGCAGCAACAACAACAACAAAGCAACATGTTCTTTTGAGAAGGATAAGCACAATGGTTCATTTCCAAACTCAGTCCATTTCATTTTATGTTGCTGAATAAGATGTGTGTGTTTCACTGAGGCTTTTCTTTGTTTGGGATGAGATGCTCCTCTTATCAATATGCACAGTTCAGCTACTCAGTGAAGAATTGCTACAACTTGGAGATTAATTAAGTTTGAAGTTTGTTCCAGTAGGCTATCTTTCAATTACCTACCTACTCTTAATTCCTGTTTATTTTGCCTCTCACAATAGTTATCTTCCCTCTGTTGTAAATAGTGTTTGAATTCAGCGCTCACTGTTAATATGAGAATTACATTCTGTTTTCATAGTTCATCAATGTGGTATGCTTTGGCATTAAAGTTGTCTTCAGCACACTTTGCAGCCTGTAACACCAAATATTGCATTTTACAGTCATGGGTTATTGAAGAGAATGAGCAAAGAGAACACTAAAGTTGATCTCAGTTCTCTGAGCTAGGAACAAGAAAGATGGAAATCATGCATGTGCAGACAAGCTTGAACGGAATAGTACAAACGCAATGTTTGTACTGTCTGGCCTTATGAAAAATAATCACTTGAGTGGAATGCTAGATAGCTTTTGCACCAATGCACCATCATTCATCAACTGAACAAATGTTCCCATATCAGCAAGTATGGTTTGTATTTGCACAGAATTTGTAAATATTAGCCAGAATGTATTTTCAGTGCTAAACATGTCTGGCAAGTCTCACAGACAGATCAGGATGGATTTTTTTCTCTACCATCAGTCTTCATTATGTAGGATTCAGTGCACTCAGACGATTAAGGTTACCATGGCAACCAGAAATTAATTCATTTCCTTTTTTTAACAGTTCCATCAAAAGTCAGACATTTAATTCCTGAGTTCTGTTGGTATGCTCTGAATTTTCTAAACTAATGTAATAATTTGCCAAGTTGCAGCAAGAAAGCCAAACATTGTGCATAAGATCTTACCACAGTAGCTTATCATTGCAGGCCAATCAGGAATTGTTGCTTTCAGAAATAATGCTTAAACCCTTGTTAATTGCTATCTCAGAGTCATTAATTTAATGCACCACAAAATAATTTGGTATGAAACTCTTTACAATATGTGTATCATTAAATAAAATATACCAATAAAAACATCATGCATTTAGCAGTTGTGCTTGACATCACATGTAATTAATTTTTCAAAGCTTCACTTAAATGCTGGGCTGAGAAAGACTGTCAGAATTATTCTCTCCTAGTGAATGCGTCATTGTATATTTATTTGAATGTGCAGTCTTGGGAAGGTTTGATTTTAACATCAGGTGTCAAAATGGAAAAAGTGTTTCTTTTTACATGATATTCAGATAAGCATTATTGTAAAAGAAATCATAATCTTAAAACCGTCTGTAGGAATTAAGCATTATTTTTGGACTTGCTCCTTGGCATCCCAGCACAAATTGTCCTGGCCTTTGGGAGCTCATTTAACACCAGCTTCTATTTTGTGAAGCATTTGTTCTTGTTCAGAGCTGTTTCCTATTTTCCAACTTAGAGCCAATAAATAAAACACACAAATTTATTGGTAGTTCATCCACTTCCTAAGAATATCCAATTGTTTACCACTATAATATTACAATTTGTTTAGTAACTAACATTTTTTTGTGTGTTTTTCTTGCTTTGGCAGGTTAGGCCAAAGACCCTGATTCCAGACAGCCTCCCAGTCACTCTATGCCGTGACCAGACCTCCAATCAGCCTCATACTCTTCAAAAAGCCACTGTAATCACTATCAAGAACCCAAGTCCAGCCCTTCCCACTGCCAACAACACTGTCAACCATGTGCAGACACCAACAGGCCAATCACAAAATGTTGCAGAGCCAACATCAGTCTCCACTCCTATCAGCAGCGCTGGTGTGGCGTTTGCTATCATCTCGGCCTCTCCTAATCATGGCAATTCTGTGAAGAGCAGTGCAGTCTCTTTGACCAGTGACACTATCAGTGTTCAGCCTCTTCTCCTCAGCACAGACAAGGTGGGGGCAACTTACTGTTTTCCATCCATGGAAATAATGGACCGGTGGAAACAAAGTGTACATACAATAACTGTTTCAAACTAAGACCAGAGTATCATAGAAAATGTTATTCCCCAGGACAAGTTGAATCCAGTTCTGTATTGTGGATCTCAATAATTTGATTCATTATGTTCATTTCTCTTCCCATTCTCAGCACATTTTCAGCATTTTGGAACACCTATCAACTGGATAGTTTAGTATCAGCATTCAGGAACGTGATGGCTATCTATGAATTTCTGTGATCTAAGCACAGTAGCCAACGAATTGTGTTGCAATCTCTTTTTTGTTCCAATATTTTTATTCTAAAAGTTTGGCATTGAAAACCTCACTTTCTCCACAGTTAGCTTTATCCTTCTTCACTTTGCTGTGGGATTTGGTATCACATCAGGTTAATTAGAAGCAAGTTAAGGAAGCAAAACATATGATAATCTTCTCAAGGGTAACCCTTCCTGAATTCTGAAATGGTGAGCTGTGAAAGCCTTGTATAGGATAGATAATGGATTTTTTTTTAAAAAGTTACAAATAAATTATAAAATTATTACACCAGGAGACAACTTAACATCCCATTAAAATGGTATCAATGGAAAGTTAAAGGGAAAAAATAAAAACATATTAGGCATTAGAAAGAATGTTTTTGACTTTGCAATTCAGTTCTGCAAAATAGAGAATAAAAAAATTAGAAGCCTGGAATGAGGAAAATGAATAGATCATTTAGGTCATTTTTATTTTAAGGTTTTGAAACAATCCTAAAGTTTTTTTAAAAAAAGTGTCTTCTGTTATGGAGTTGATCACTTGCAGAGAACTAATCTATCTCTGTTCACCATAATTTGAACTTTGAATGTATATTTTGAAACCATAAATCACTACATAAATTGCACAGATTATTATTATTATCATGTGGAGTCCTGTAGCTCAGTGGTTAGAGCACTCGCCTCACAAGCGAGAGACCTGGGTTCGATTCCCAGCAGGGTAAAACCTTGGGCAAGTTTCCTTATATTCCACACACCTGATAATAATCCCTCAAGAAAAAAAACAATAATACATTGGTCACTTAAATCCATGACTATTTGTGAGACACTGCTGTGCACAATTGGCTGCCACGTTTCGCCTACAAATATACGGTCAATTCACTTTACAGTATATTCTGTGAAGCGCTTTGAGACATCTAGAAGACGTGAAAAGCCCTATATCAAATTCAAGGATTATTATTATTATGTTTCTTTATATTGAATTGCTACATAGGTTTATTGAAGTGGTTCTTGTGAATGTATAGGAAGGTGCTCATGCCTACTTTTGTCATTTTTGTAGGTACTAATCATTCAGCCACAAAGTCTGACACAGGCAGAAAACCTGACAGAAAAAATGAAACACTCAGCTGAACATTCTCAGGGACAGCCTTCCACAAAATCCAAAAGAGAGGACAATCCTGAGGTAAAGATCCAACAAGAAGAAAAAATAAAGTAATCAATTCCTGAGTTCAAATACCTAATAAGTAGTTTTTCTCCTTTTTTCAAAAAGTCAAAAACATTTTTAAGGGTGTTCCTTGGTGCATCAGGTGGTTCTACACCATGGTCATGTTCAGTCTATGAGTCGTGATCTATGAGCAAGCACTAACTTGGTATGGGTGCACAGAGACCTCTCACACTAAATCTTGCACAACCTGCTGCTGATTCAGTGCAGCAAGAGAGGTGACATGAGGCAGGCAGGCATTCTTTTTTGGTATGTGATGCAAAAAAAAATAAAAAGGAGCCCTGCCTCCAAATTGCTTTTAATTCCAATTTTTGTTGTTTCATACCTTTTGGAAAACAGTTTGTCATGCTGGGGTCAGGTTTGGCTCAATTGTAGGCACTCTTGTTTCTGAGTCAGAAGATTTGGGGTTTAAGCCCCACTAGAGGAGCAGTGCACTATCAGAGGTGCCATTCTTCAAATGAGATGTTATAATTGAGGTTCTGTATGGTCGTCCAGATGGATGTTAAAGAGTTTCTCCTGGGGAACAATCTCCAGATAAAAGTGGTCATCAACTTCATGGCTGTTTGTGGGACATTGCTATGCACAAATTGGCTGTGGTGTTCACTTGCAAAATATGTAGTCGCTGTACTTAACAGTAATAATCCTGTGAAGTGCTTTGAGACGTTTTTGTGAGTGTCAACTGATCTCCATCCTGACTTTTACCAGAATAGGTTCCAAAAAAATGCAGCACACACTATCCACGTGGAACTCCCTGATTGATGTCTTCAATAATTTTCCTCAAATCTCTTCTTGTTTCTTTTATGTCAGATCTTGTGTCATATCTGGTGTCCCGCTGTACAGTGAAAGTATCTAGCTTTCTATCATGGTTTCCCCCACATTAATAACCCGCTTCTCTATTTCACACAGTGACTCTTTCTTTTTAACTCTTATATTCTGATACGCATTATCTGACTCTGTTTGTGTCTGTATCTCGCTCTAATTGACTGTATGTTTTGTGCAAGTCTATGTACTTAACTACATCTGATGTTTCCACCTCATGCTTTTTGGGAAAAAATGGATACCTGGTTACATCATTCATATATGTGCAGCAAAAATTTTTCCTTGGCATTTCAGCATCACATCACTTCCTCATCTCAGCCCTGATGTGGTTGAATAAACAGGTGCTGTTTTTTGATGTATGCACGAAGAGTGCTCTCCCATACAACAGAGTATATTACTTGTAAATACTTTTGGGGAATTTCCCTAAAATCATTTACCATTCAGATTACTCCTCTGGTAAAGGGATACTGTCTTAACATGTGGATCCCGTCCCTTACACCTCAAAAAATATCAAACTGCAAAGACATAATGTGTAAAAGTATGTTTTATGTGGATGAGAGCAAAAAATGCTTCTGATAATTTTATGATGAACAAAAAGTGTTATGATAATAAAACACTTCAACTTCATTGCTAACTTCAGCTTATCTTATCCAACACAGATTTTCCCCCAGGGGCTGACATTTGACAGCATATGTAGTGCTGTGTAATATAGACGCATTAGGATTTTTAAATTTCAATTCACATACTTGACTTAAAAATTGCTTTGAGCTACTTCCTTATCACAAGAGCACAACTACTCTTAGCTTCCATGAACAGAATTGATGTGCTTATTAATACAAAGTATGGTCAAAGTATAACATGAACACCAAATGGACTAGCTTCTACCTCATTGTTCGTGATCTGCAAAGAAATGTCCAACTTCTAAGTAATCAGGTCACCATGATTTCACTTCCTGCACTTTGCACAAGAAGCAGTGATCCGGTCATTTCCTTCGCAAATTGTGTTAATGACACTTGCTGCGCATAACATACTTGCCCCCAACAAACAGGAAATGACAGTAACAGTGACCCAATGATCTGTAAGTGAGCCAGAAGCTAAGTGTACCACACTTTGGTTAACACGGGCCTACATTAGACTATGCTGTAATTCAGACAGCAATATAACAGTTGCTATAATGGGGTTTTCCATGCACTTGTTTCTCCCTTTCTCCCTTCTGCCTATTATAATAAAAACAGGAATGCTTCAGAGGACCTTTAAGATTTAAAGACTTAATGCTCATAATGTTACCTTTCAATTAAATAATTCCACTCTTTTACTTTTTTGTTTGAAAATTCCCTTTTTGCCTTTTCTTCTAAAGCTCTCAATCCCTAAAACAAGTCCCTAAAACAATAATCCTTAAAACAAAACAATAATAATTTGGTCACTAAATCCACAACTGTTTGTGGGACACTGCTAAGCGCAATTGGCTGCCGCATTTCGCCCACAAAATATACAGTCAATTCACTTTACAGTATATTCTGTGAACTGCTTTGAGACATCTAGAAGATGTGAAAAGCGCTATATCAAATGCAAGGATTATTATTATTTTAACTCCAGCTGGTTCCATAGCAAGCACACCAGTACCATGCCTAGGTGGCCATTCCACTTTTTGGGAAATCCTCCTGATGTGAAAGGTACTATACAAATGTAATTTGTTGTTGTTGGCTGCAGGTTTTGTCAGACCAGAAGCCAGTATGATAAGTTGAATACCATTCTTGTATGTTGTTTTGTTTTGATAGCTCTATGGTGCTACTTTGTTAGTAATTATTATAAAATTCAAATTGTTGGCTTGGTTTCTTAAATGATATTGTTCCATTTTTTCTTTGAATTTGCAGAAACTTGCCTTTATGGTTTCACTTGGTTTGGTTACTACTGAACACCTGGAAGGTAAGTCGAATTGTATACTCTTAAACTGTGTCAGGTTGGCAAGAGCCAAGTCTTGGGGAGCCGAGAGTGTGCATTGGGTGCTGCTACAGTCTAACCAGCTAAAAGCAATATTTAGAGCACTGCTGGGCAAGCTTCCCTGGGGACCCATTTGGGCTTTGGCTTGCTGGTTAACAGGAGCTAGTAGGAAGAGTCCCTGATCCATGACTGGTCTGCCCTTTCAGGTTCTGCTGATGAGCCAGCCTGACTCTGTTGTCATCAGCAGTGTGCTGGAATATTGCGGACCTGCCTGGTTCAGGAAGTGGGCTACTGACACCGCCATGGACGGTGGGCTCGATTCTGACATTTCATTGCCAAATATGTCACCTTGGAGCTAGATCAGTTCCAAAGAAGGAAAGTCTGCCAGATAACTAGAATATAAAAGTAAGGAAGTGGTGTTAACATTTTTTAAAAAAAAATTGGTTGTACCACATTAGGAATACTGTGCACTTCTGGCTACCATATTAGAGGAAGGATATTGACACATAGGAAAGACTACAGAATAGATATAAAGGATGTTTAAGGATGTCACCAGGAATTAACAGATACAGCTATCAAGAAGGAATGGACTTCTCTCGAGACTTGAGAGGTGTTTAAGATTATGGAACGAGAGAGGTAAATACAACAATAATAATCATTACACTTGGTATTGTGCCTTTTATGTCGGGAGGACATTTCAAACTGGATATGATGTGAAGTACAAATGTAATGTTGTTGCTGTTGTTGATCAGACTTGAAACAATTGGCTGCAGAAGCTTCTTTAGAGGATTGAGAAGGCAGATTTGATCAGATAGATCTGAAATCTAAATCTAAATATTCAAACAAAATATGAATTGAAAAAACAAGCGTTTAGGATTTGCTTTTGGATCATTTGGACCTCCACAAATGGGCTGTGCTTGGATTGCAAGGACAGTTTAATGCTGCTCCTTCTTCCTCAGCCTGATTGAACCAACCAAGAAATGAAGCCTGTAGATTTCTGTTTTGAGCCCATCATATCTGGAACGTAATTTTTTTTCCATCTTGGCTCTTTCGTATTCTGTCAGTATCAATGTTCTTCCACAAAATACACAGACACTCCACTTTACAATATGTCTTGTGAAGCACTTTGGGACACCCTTCTAACGTGAAAGGCACTCCATCAAATGCAAGGATTATTATTTATCCCATTATGCTCCACAGTTTCCCATAGGCCTACAGCTTAGTGGTTAGAGCACTCGCCTCAAAAGGAAAAGGACATGGGTTTGATTCCCGGGCAGAGCGAAACGTTGGGCAAGTTTTCTTACTCCACAGGGGGAAACAAGCATTGTACACTACTTACTATGGTTTCTTTCCAATCAGCTGAGTTGAGGCTGGGATTCAATCTCTGGCCATCTGGTGCAGTCCCAGTGATCTGCTGCTGCAACTGATAATTCATGATCTCATCAAACATTTTTTAATGTAAGAATGAAATATTTCCCAGTCAAATGACTTCACATCTCTGCCTCTCCAAAAGGAAGAAAATCTGCAGTGACAAGTCCAGTTTCCTGTCCCATTAGGCAAGCATGTTGTTAGAATATACACTTTTTGTATACTGCTAGAATCATAATAGATGTTGTGAATGGGTTAACTTTTAAGTTAAGTGTGGGGGACAACTGGACTGACAGTCATGGGATAGGACACATCTGTTTTTCTCTGTTTTTGAAAGAATAACGGACAGGGGGAGGAGGTCACCTCTTATCAGTAAATGACAACAAGCCACAGAGGTAACGGTCCAAGGTACCAGTCGACACAGGATCTCGACTGAGCAATAAGTCGCTAGACTCTGACAGGGCCTGCCAAGCGACAACAACAACAACAACAACAAGATTCCATTTATAAAGCGCCTTTCACGTCAGGAGGACGTCCCAAGGCGCTGCACAGTTGGGTCATGACCCGAGCAGGGGGGAAATGGTCAGGGTGAGGGGAGGGAAGGGAGGGAGCGAGGAGGGGGAAGAGAGTCGAGAGGGGAGCTGAAGGCTCGGTCAAAGAGAAAGGTTTTGAGACCGGCCTTGAAGGAGGAAAGGGAGGAAGCAAGGCGAAGGCACTGGGGGATAGAGTTCCAGAGCCTGGGGGCTGAGAGGCTGAAGGCCCGACCACCGATGGTAGGGCGGTTGGGGCGGGGGACGTGGAGCAGACCGGAGCCAGAGGAACGGAGGGTACGGGCAGGTAGGTAGGGGGATAGTAGGTTGGAGAGGTAGGAGGGAGCAAGGCCGTGAATGGCCTTGTAGGTGAGGATGAGGATCTTGAAATCGATCCTCTGGGGGATGGGGAGCCAGTGGAGGCGAGCGAGGGTGGGAGTGATGTGGTCCCGAAGCCTGGTGCGGGACAGTACACGAGCTGCAGAGTTCTGAATGACCTGCAGCTTGTGGAGGGAGGTGGCGGGAAGGCCGGCGAGGAGAGAGTTCCCGTAGTCCAGCCTTGAGGTGACAAAGGCGTGGACCAGAGTTTCAGCAGCGTGAGGGGTGAGGTAATGCCGTAGTCTGGCGATGTTCCGGAGGTGATGGAAGGCGGTGCCAGTTGTGGTGCGGATGTGAGGGAGAAAGGACAGCTCAGGGTCGAACAAAACGCCGAGGTTCCTGACTGGCTTTGAAAGGTGGAGAGTGCAGCCTTGGATGCTGATGGTGTCAGCGCCTGAGGTGCGGAGGCGCTGACGTGAGCCAATCAGGAGGGCCTCGGTTTTTCGCACGTTGAGCTGAAGAAAGTTGTCTCTCGTCCAGGAGGCAATCCTCAAGAATAGCAATTAATGAGCAAGTTGCTTAAACTAGAGGACCTTGGTACCATCCCGGGATACTGATAAGGAATAACCAGTCACTTAAAAGGAATGTACTAATGATCCCACACCACAAAATAATGAGCACCAGATACAGTCCTAAACTGATCAATCCTCTATCTTAGACAATTAGATCAGATAACAGGGGTCTTAAGCACAATGTGTATGTGTGCTGAGGCACGTATACCCAGCATGATTTCGACCAGGTGATCTAATGTCCGCACCATGATTGGATGAACATTGGTATAAGAGTTCCGATAACCTTGTGTACGGGGCCGTCCCGGGTCGTGGAGACAAGGGTACGGGAGATGGGGCCGTCGCGGAGACAAGGATACGGGAGATGGAGCCATCCCGGGCTGTGGAGACAAGGATACGGGAGTTGGAAGACTGAGAGCTGGAAACACTAAGACTGAGGATATCAGATGGAAGATTGAAAGCTGTAAGCAAGAAGACTGAAAGCATGAAGAATCAAGCTTGTGTGCTGTAAAGACACAGTGTTGAACTCTTGAACTCAAGATATCTATAGTGGTGTTATTCTGTTATAAGATCTGTTGATTGTACCGGCCTTTGGTCTGACCCATCAGGATATTGGGGAAAAACGAATGAATAATAATAAAACAGTCTGATATCTGGTTAGAGGAATTAGCGTTATTTCCTTACAGATTTGGCTGATTTTATTTTCTAAAAATGTCAAGACTGCATCAATCAATTTGAGAATAATCTAGAAAAATGTAATTTGTGCTTTAGGAATGCAAAAAATTATTTTGCTGTAAGTTTGTTGTTTGCTTACATTATAAATGCATTGGCAGCAAAAATAATTTAATTGGAATAAATGATTGCTTTCTTGCATTTGTCCCAGGGACAGATGTGCTTTCAGTGATCTCTGCTTTCTACTTTTGAAATCTTGTTTTCTGAAATTGAAAGGATTATAAATGGAGCGAATTAAACGACCTATTAGAAAGAGATGCTTGCTTATGTAAAGTTGCAGGAACAAAGACATTTTTATTCTGCGACATTGATAAATTTTGAGAATAATTCGAGTTCTGTAGTTTCCTTTTAATCAATTGTAAGAGTACTTTTCTAGTTGTCTCTCCCTGTAACCCAATTATTGATGGTGAAACTGTAAAATACAGAACCTTATCATACCACTGCCACCGAAATTAATGAGCGCCACCACGGAAAGCATGAAGGAACAAAGAATCTATTTGCATAGCCTTTGAAAATTCCATTTTAGATAAGCATTTATTTAAAAAAAACATTGGATATTCTTTAATTAAAAATAAATTCTTGTTCCCATGGTTACAGAAATCCAGAGCAGACGTCAGGAAAGAAAGAGACGAAGCACAGCCAACCCAACGTACAGCGGATTGTTTGAGCCAGAGGTAAATGACATTTGTCCATACAGTGTTCAGATAATATGTAAGAGCACAGTTAGCAATTTAGATTTCAGGATCAGCACGGTACTCAGATAGGGCCCAAAACATATAATTCTTTTTAGCCACTCAACACACAATACTGTTACAAGATTTCCCGAATCCACTTTGTAGTCCAAGTACTTCACTATCTAACTATATTCAACAACAAGATTACATTTGTATAGCGCCTTTCACGTCGGGAGGATGTCTCAAGGTACTAAGCTACTGGATATGTGTTAAAGGAGGCTGAGTTTTGAATTGAGTTGGTTATACATTTGAGCACTTTTTAAAATTAGTATTAAGAATGTTTTTGAGGATAAAGGAACATTTAAAAAATAAATTGCCAAATGGTATTGCAGTGATTCAGCTTACAAGTCCTCCAAACATAGGGTACTAATAGGGTACTGGGCTTCAGTACTAATAGGAATAGGACACATACTCTAAGATGGAGGAAGTATGCATTTAGCTGAAGCTCGCAGGTAAAGAAAAATGAGGGGGAATGGGAAGAGAAAGATATTATCCTGAAAATATATTCTACACATATTAGTCATGCAGCTTCATTGTGTATTGCAGTAACAATGGGTTACGTTTCCAAAATTTTATACACGTTTATGTTTCTTAAACCTAAAGTTTTTAAAGATTCAGCCATGTTCTTAAGATCACAAGAGAATTTTAGTTGTAGAAGGTCCTGAGCCTATTTGATCTCATCCTTTTGGAATATTCGCCTTCCTGTACTTCCGTCACAGCAACAAGCTGTATTTTAAATGATTCCGGAGTCCTGGCCTCAGTCATCCTTCCTAATAACCTGTTCATTCATACATTTTCCTCTGTCTAAAGAAATACTTCCTAGTGACTGCCCTGAAATGTCCTTTGCAACTCTAAAACTATGTCTTCTTGTTCTTTTGTTTCGGTGCATCAGAAAGTTAAATTTCTGGTCCAGTTTCTCAATCTCATTTAAAATTTTATATATTCTCTAAAGTCCGGTCTGAGATGTTTCTTTGAAAGACTGAGGAGACTAGCTTATCTAATTATTGCTCATAAATCTTTTCTTTAACATTGGGGATCATCGTTGTTGCTTTAATCTGCAATAGGTCTTGGTATTTATGTGAGTGAGCATTCCTTTTGGCAAGTTCTATTCTATCCATGGAGTAAGTGTGTCTCCTGTTCTTACTTCCTATATGTAGTAACTTGTTATTTGTATTGATTTCATTTGTAAATCATCAGTCCATGCGCACACCCAATCAAGCTCTCTTTGCAAAATTATTTCTGGCTCCTCTGACTCCACACTTCCTTTTGATGATGTTTGTTCTGAACCTAGAACAATTACTGGAATCAAATGCACTTGATCCAACTTCAATTAAAATACAGGTATATGAAAGTAACATATTTAAAGCAATCTTCATTGGTTAGTGCATTTTGTAGTATTTAAGAAAATAGAAATGTTACCAAAGCAGACTGTTGTGATTAATAATGTTCAAAAAGTCACTAATGTTGGTTGGACTAATTGCTCATATGGCCTTGAAAAAAGGTATTCTGACCAGAATTTAAAAATATTATTTTTTGATGTCTTAACAAATGTCTTCCTTTTGTTCACTTTTTCTCCAGCGCAAACGGATTGCCACAAGTTACCTGAATGGTCCTTTGTACATTTCAACAAGAAGTATGTATTTTTAAAGCTAGCACGCTCTTCATTTTAAAGATGCACAAAATCACAGTAAAGGCAACACAGCACATGCTTCAAAAGAGGTATCAGCAAGGTTTTTAAAATGTGTTGAGATTGCAGGATTGTGCAATGGAGAATACTGTATGAGCAGGAGTGAGGAGTTGCAGTTAGAGTTGTGGTTTTTACAAGGCTGAATGCATCAAACTCTTGTTCAAGTAGTGGCAGTGATTTTTTTAATAACACACTTAATGGAAATACTGTATTCAAAGTTGTGGAGAGCACATTTTAAAAACTGTTCACCTGCAACTTTGAACTCCGATAGAGTTTGCATGCAGCCAGTAAATGCCAGAACGTGTTTTACGACTGGAATGGAGAATGCATGAGCCATCATACTATTGGTTGACAAGTAAGGATGAGGAAAATATGGCCTCCAGCCAGTGAAGCATTGAAGTATCTGAGTTCTGAATGATGGATACTTGAGCCTATGTGACTCAGTCGGTAGCACATTCGCCTCTTAAGTCAGAAGGTTGAGGGTTCAAACCATACTTTGGAAGGTGAACCTCATATAGTTTTAGCTGACAATTCAATGTTGTCCTGGGGGTGTTTTGCATTGTCGGAGGTACTATCCTTCAGATGAGCCGTTTAAACCAAGGCCCCGACCTGTCGGCCTGTTCAGGTGGATATTAAAGATCTAATGCCACTAATTGAAAAGAGAAGGGAGTTTCTCCCAGTGCCCTGGCCAACAATCCCCCAAATAAAATCGGTCATTCACTTCAAGGCTGTTTATGGGATATTGCTGTGCGCAAATTGGCTGCCGCATTTGCTCACAAAATGCATAGCGACTGCACTTTACAGTATATCTTGTCAAGTGCTTTAGGATGTCCTCCAGATGTAAAAGGCGCGACACCAAAAAGTAAGGGTTATTATAATTATGTGGGGCACTACTTCCTGGTTAACAGTCAACAGCAGAAATCCCAGCTGATCTTTGCCTTCTCAATCATGGGGGGTGGGATGGTGTGTTGTAATGGTACACCAACTGTTACTGCAGCAAGTTTGCAACTCAGTACAGACTCTGTGACAAAACCTGTGACTATGATCAGTGCTATAGTGGATGGAATATATACCAATGAGTTGGAGCCATCTCTGCTGCTGATTACAAAAGGTACATCAATGGTCTTAACGCCCAAGCAATGTTCCCTTCTTTGTTGTGCAACACCAAAACTTCACTCCAGTAATATACTACTGATAACTAACTTTCTTGTTTATTGTGTGGTGCATTGTACCATACCAGTTTTTTTTAAAAAATCTGTTGACCACACAAACCAATATTTTGGTGCAAACTCGTAAGTGAGGATGAAAGCTACAATATAAATCCACGTGAAATATTATTCTTTACAGAAAATAACTAAATAGATTAAAAAAAACACAAACAGAAGTTGCTTGGAACTCTCAGCAGGTCAGGCAGCATCTATGGAGAAAGGAAAGTGAGTCAACGTTTCGGGTCCACGACCCTTCATCAGAACGAGTCGGTTCTGATGAAGGGTCGTGGACTTGAAACATTGACTCACTTTCCTTTCTCCATAGATGCTGCCTGACCTGAGTGTTCCCAGCGACTTCTGTTATTGTTTTCAGATTTCCAGCATCTGCAGTATTTTGCGTTTTGTAAAAAAACCACAATTGTATTTCTGGCCCAGATATTATCAGAGATGCAAGGAATCTTCAGGATCTAATGCATCTATTCATTTGGCAGCACATATGACAACCCACAGGCTCCCTAGACATAAAAAGTATCTCCAGTTATTGCCTCCGGTATTGAGTCTCATCATTCAATCCGTGTTACTAACCTGAACCCATGCTGCTCATCATATTGCCTGCTACTAACCTGTTTTCTACCTCTTTTCTTCACACGCTAGCCAATGAGGACCTTTGTTGGAAGGTATGTCTCCTCTGTAAAGTGGCTTTTCTGTGAGCATTTCTTAATATTCATAAATGTTTGAAGTTTTTTTTAATGGCAAACATGAGAACCACAAGTAGTTTTTATTTTATATTTAAACCCTGAGTGCTATGTATCTGAATATCTTTATTGCTGCTTTTAAAATGTCGCATTTATCAGATGTGAGATAGGTACATTAACACTGTCTGCTATAGAGTTGCAACCACATTACATTCGAAAAATGTAATTTCAGTACAAAAGTAGATTCTCAAGGGCATGGCTTGGACTTAATAAATCTTTTAGTAACAGGCTATAATTAGCAGCATTTATTTGTTTGAGGCCTGATTTAATCGCAGAATGTAAATTAAAAGCTGTCTATTTTTGTTTGTAGCCACTTTGTTCTGGAAGCCGGGAATTGTGTGACATTTTCTGTGATCAAGGGTGACAATGTGTCTTGCTTTAAAAGCTGGCCTTTCTGAGCTTTCATTTTATCCAAATTCTTTTTTTATTATATACATTATTCTAAAGTAGTGCAATAATTCCTCAGAGAAATTTCTAGAAAGGTGTAACATTATAAAAATTATCCATGCAGGGAGCCAAGATGAACTCTTCTGATATTTTTGGGGCAATCATTTTATTGAATATTTTGTCTTATGTTTATAAAGCTTATTATGACATTTTAAGCTAAGTGTGATAGCATTCACTATTACAACCCTCATCCTTCTGAAAATTAATGTGTCTATAGATCAGTTTTTTAAAAGTACACATAGATTACTTGGTTCAGTGAACTATGAGATTAGAGGAGACAATAACTTCAGTTGAAAGTACTCTGGTGACTACTACAGTAGACAGTTGATAATGTTCATTAATTGGAACTAACCCAATTGCAGATAAGCAAATAGTGTGGATAATTGAACATTGCATAAAATACAAATCGACTGCAGTGTAAAAAAATGATTCCATCAGGAGTTGTATTGTCACTTTAGTACCACATTGTGCTAGCCGCACTCTACCACTCTTTCCCTCTCGCCACCGCTCTTTATCTCTTCTCCCTTAGCCACACTCACTCCCTCGGCATTTGGTTCTCTCTCACTCGTGTGAGCTCTCACGCTTTTGCCATCACTGGACACTGCCTTGGGCGTGCTCATTCACTCCTCTCTTTCTGAACCACTCGGTCTCACATTTTCTGTTACACACTCGCTCTCACTCTCTCGGTGCCACTCTCTGTCTCTCTACCATTCGTGCAAGCTTTATTAATTTTCTTTATCTCTTTTTGATTCTAACCCTACATTGTTTAAAAGTACTGTATAAAAACTGACCTCACTACCAGGGGAATTCTCTTTTCTCGCATGTGCGCAACATTGCTTAGGGAGAAGATTTAGCTGCTCAGAGCAACTACATTTGTTCCTTTTACAATTGTGCACTTGTATATGCAACTTTGCATATGCACAGAACAGGATTATTTCCAGTATCTTGCAGCCCCAGGTCTGCTTTCTCATCGGAGCCCAGTGTGAATAAATGCAAACTCACATACAGATCAATGGCATAGGGAAAGCTATCATTCTACTGTTTTTGTATTTTTAGATCCTTTTGTTTCAGAAATGTACGGAATCTTTTATTTCCTTGTGAAATAGCAAAGCAGCATACCACAAGGATCTTATTGAGTGCCATCAAATCACCCCCCAAAAATCGGTCACTTACTCTATGGCTGTTTGTGGGACATTGACGTGCGCAAACGGATTGCCACGCTTCAGGCACACAATACACAGTCAATCCATTTTATAGTATATGCTTTGATTCGTCTTGATGACATGATAAGGCGCCATATCAAATGCACGGGTTATTATCATCACCAGGGCCCGCTACAAATGCTACAAGTGCGTTCAGAATGTCTCTGCAATATTCTTTTCTTTTTGCTATTGTTGCTTATTATTCAGATGAGAGCAACGTAGATTGCAGAAAAGGCTCCAACAATTGTATTTCCTTCTTTAAGTTCCAAAAGCATTCACTCTAAGGGAATGAAATTGTGCCTCTGGTTGTTTCACTTGAGTAAATTAGCTACGATATTTGCGGACATAACGTTCATTTCATTTCTTATTAATCTGATTTTGTAATGCACTTCAAATTTTTTCTTTTATGTGAAAGGCACTGTTAAATTCAAATCGTTTGCTTGTGTGTTAGGAGTTCAACTGCAGCAATAAATCCATTTCTGAGCTTGCAATTACTACCACATCTTCCTCTCTAGAATGTAGGTGAAATTAAAGGAAATGGTTTCAATTAACCTTGGTTGTAAAGTTAATAATAACAATCCATGCACTTGAAATAGTTCTTATCACGTCGTAGCCTTCTTATCAAGGCGCTTCACAGAATACACTGTAAAGAGAATTGGCTGTATATTTTGTTTGCGAAATTTATATTTGCACAGTGCCTTTCTTGTCGGGAGCTGTCTGAAAAGATTTGCTGGCTGGGCACCCAAGTTGGGGTGAGAACCTGCAGAGGGGAGGAGAAAAGATAGGATCAGAGCCCATAAAAGTGGATATTTGGAGTTGAAATACAGATCAGCCATGATCTAATAGAATGGTGGCACGCTCAAGCCTGTGCGTGCCACCATTCTATTAGATCATGGCTGATCTTTATTTCAACTCCAAATATCCACTTTTATCCCATATCCCTTGATACCCTTACCTAACAAAAATCTATTCAGCTTAGTCTTAAAAATGTGAATGGATCCAGCATCCACAGCGTTTTGAGGGAGGGAGAGAGTTCCAGATTTGTACAACCCTTTGCGTGAAAAAATGTTTCCTGGTTTCAGTTTTAACTGGCCTAGCTCTAATTTTAAGATTATGCCCCCTTGGCCGAAAGCGCGATCAGAGAGCTAGGTCTTGAGATCGCAAACCTGCTACCACCACATCCAAATAACTGATGGCTTACTGAAATGTGGAACAAAGCAACTGACTGGCTGCAACAACAACAACAAAATTACATTTGTATGGTGTCTTTCACATCGGGAGGATGTCCGTGTGTTAGACTGAAGTGGAGGAAGGAAGCCCATTATCTTCAAAAGAGCTGTCCATTCTTCTGCAATATCTTGCAAAATTTTAAAATTGGAAATCTTCCTCATGTTTTCCTAAATGTGTTCAGGAATCCAATTTTAGTTCTTGCTGCCTACTTTTCATTTGTTTCTGTTTACTATTTGTAGGATGATATTCATGAGGATTACTGCACAGTTTGCAAACGCAGTGGACAACTGCTCCTCTGTGACACATGTTCTCGTGTCTATCATCTGGACTGCTTGGAACCTCCTCTCAGGACCATTCCTAAGGGTGTGTGGGTCTGTCCCAGGTGCCAGGAAAAGGTACAAGTCCAGCCTTTTGGATGTTTTTTTAAACTGCTTGACACGGTAAAAGATTACTATTTTTAAATGTTGTTTTAATTCTATAAGATGATTTTTCAGAAACAGTTTAAAAATGAGGGGATTTAACATCAGTGATGGTTTGTATTAGTTTCAGAAATGTCCAGCGAATTTAAGCACAAAACTGAAATTTTGTTGCCCTTTTGTGACAGAAAACATACACTGTCTTACTGCACCATTCTCATTCATGTTTTTCTCATTCATGTTTTTCGCTTTTATTTCCTCTCTGCTTGCTACCGGCATCCCCCCCTCCCTCACCCCAACTCCCACAACCACCACCTCAAAATGTTAATCTCCGTCCTGCAGGGACAATGATGAAAACAGTACATCTAAATAAAAAGGACATGCATTTATCATTGCCTCCACGCAATGTTGATAATTAAAATGTCTGTGCTTTAATTATTTTTTAAAAAATAGTTTGCGTTATCACTTGGTCTTCAAAGTTTGCTTTGTAGTTAAGATAGTCCTACAAATTGTATTCTATATTGCCATTTGGAGTCTTTTTTAATTGAACAAACATAGCAAATGGTTTCAGGACAATTAGAACCTCCCACCTCAACCTTCAAGGCCCTGTCCTTGAGTGGTTTAGGTCCAACCTCTCCCACTGTCTTCATTTTGTTTGGCTTTTCCTCCAGCCCCCGCACTGTCTCGTGCGGTGTCCCTCAGGGCTCTGTCCTCGGTCCCCTCCTCTTCACCCTCTACATGCTCCCCCTTGGTGGCATCATCTGTAGACATGGGTTTAACTTCCACATGTATGCGTATGACACCCAACTCTACCTTTCCTCTTCTACCCTCAACTCCACGACCACCAATGTCCCGACAGCCTGCCTGTCTGACATCAAGTCCTGGACGAGAGACAACTTTCTTCAGCTCAAAGTGCGCAAAACTGAGGCCCTCCTGATTGGCTCGGGTCAGCGCCTCCGCACCTCAGGCGCTGACAACATCAGCATCCAAGGCTGCACTCTCCACCTCTCAAAGCCAGTCAGGAACCTCAGCGTTCTGTTCGACCCTGAGCTGTCCTTTCTTCCTCATATCTGCGCCACAACTGGCACCGCCTTCCACCATCTCCGGAACATCGCCAGACTACGGCACTACCTCACCCCTCACGCTGCTGAAACTCTGGTCCACGCCTTTATCACCTCAAGGCTGGACTATGGGAACTCTCTCCTCGCCGGCCTTCCCGGCACCTCCCTCCACAAGTTACAGGTCATTCAGAACTCTGCAGCTCATGTACTGTCCCGCACCAGGCTTCGGGACTACATCACTCCCACCCTCGCTCGCCTCCATTGGCTCCCCATCCCCCAGAGGATCAAATTCAAGATCCTCATCCTCACCTACACGGCCATTCACGGCCTTGCTCCCTCCTACCTCTCCGACCTACTATCCCCCTACTTACCTGCCCGCACCCTCCGTTCATCTGGCTCCGGTCTGCTCCACATCCCCCGCCCTAACCGCCCTCCATCAGTGGCCGGGCCTTCAGCCCCTAGGCTCTGGAACTCCATCCCCCAGTGCCTTCGCCGCCTCCTCCCTTTCCTCCTTCAAGGCCGGTCTCAATTCCTTTCTCTTCGACCATGCCTTCAGCTCCCCTCTCGACTCTCACCCCCTCATCGCTCCCTCCCTTCCCTCCCCCTGACCATTTCTTCCTTGCTCGGGTCCCGACCCAACTATCCAGCGCCTTGGGACGTCCTCCCGACGTGAAAGACGCTCTATAAATGAAATCTTGTTGTTGTTGTAGAACAGTTTATGGCAATATTCATAAAAACTTTTAACTAAAAATGCAACCCTTTAACTTTCTCATGCTGCAGTATTTTCTTTAAAAACATACTTTTATAATAACCTGTTACTGCTCACTACATGGTTCTAGCGTTAACAATTCAGGAAAATATGTTGCAAATCAGAAACCATGTTATATTCTATTTTATTCTTTAAATATTTTTGAACATTTAAGATTATCTGCTTCTATGATGTTACTCATTAATTTCTCTAAGATGCACTTAATGAAGGCCTATTAATTGTGAAGGTAACCCATTGTGCCAACGTCTTTATATTGTTCAAAATCAACCTCTAATAGTACACACTCGTGCTTATAAGATTATGGATTGTTGGAAAACGTGTTTTTTATTTAATGTATGTTTATAGTCACGATTGTGAAACACTTACGCTTTTCTGAATGAAGAGACCATGTTTTTGCTCTTAAAGGTACTAAAGAAAGAAGATAATGTGTCATGGCCTGGGACTTTGGCTATTGTCCATTCCTACCTAGCACATAAAGCAGGTATGGCATGCGGTGAATGTTGCATGCTCATAATAGTTCAATTTACAACTCAGCAGCAGCAATGCCAAATAACCAGTTAGTTGAAAATACTTAAGCTTTACACAGAGAACTGAGTCTTCTGCAACACTTGACCAGGCAGACTTGGGAGAATGAGGAGCCTCTCTTTTCACTTGACAGCCTATGCATATCAACTGGTAGTTTATTCAAGTGGTGGATGGAAGTCTATACCAGTCTTTGAAATAAAGACCACTTATTGGGGGAAGGGGTACAGAGGTTAATTGGTGAATGATGTTTGTATTTTTAAAAAATCTTTATTGTGGTTTACTGTAAAAATTAAAAGAGTTAGTTTCACCATTAGTTATACAGACTGCTGGCCATATCTCATTTGGAGTACGGTGTTCAGTTTCGGATACCGAATCTTGGGAAAGATATGATTTGCTCGACTAATATCTGGGCTGAAGGGGTTTTCTCATGATGAGAGCCTGGGTGGTAGACTGAGATAACATTCCTTAGAACAGAAGGAGATAAGGAGTTGAGACATTTAAACCAATGAAAGGAATTAACAGGCTGGTTAGTGGATGACTTCCCTCCGGTAGAGGGATCTATTACAAGGGAGTGTCGTCTTAAAATTAAAACTATGACAGTTAGAACTGAGGTAAGGAAGCGTTTCTTTGCACAAAGGGTTGTGATGATGTGAAATGCCCTGCCACAGAAAGCTATGTAGGCAGAATCGATAGGGATGTCTAAAACTGAGGTGGAAAGATATTTGTTAGGTCAGGGTATTAAGGGATACGGGGCAAAGGTGGGTAATTGGACTTGAGGTACAGATCAGCCATGATCTTATAGAATGGCAGAACAGGCTCGAGGGGCTGAATGGCCTACTCCTGTTTCTAAGAGAGAGTTAGACTGATTCTTGGCAAGCAGAGGTATTAAAGAGAATGACAAAATTGAGATTAAAATTTCTGCCAAGATCTAATGAAATGGTGGAACATTCTCAATGGGCTGAATGGCTTGCCCCTGTTCCTTTTTTTCCATGTTCCTATGAGAAATCTAATAGAAACTATTCCAAAGAGTTAAAATTTATCATTAACATGATTTAGTTCAGTCCATTTTAATTTTTTTTAGAATGACTGTTGAGTGAACTGGTTTTAAGAGATCACTGAGCCTGAAACCAAAAGTAAATTAATTGTCATGGACATTTGTGGCTCAAGAAATGCCAGTCTAAAGGTTGTATGACAGCTCCCTCATACTCAGACTGAGGAACTCTTGCAGGCCTTTCATAAATATTGTGCGCACTCACTAAACAAAAATATTCAATCATTAACTGAAATAGATGGATTATTTGGGGAGGACAAGTTTGTAGGGCTATAGGGAGAGAGTGGGAGAGTGGGATTGATTTGGATAGCTCTTTTAAAAGAGCCAGCACAGACATTTTAGGCAAAAATGGCCTCGTTCTGTGCTGTATAATTCTATGATTCTATGAAAACAAATGAAATTGAATCCTAAAACTCTATAATGATTTGTTTAAAAATGGTTCATGATTTCCACACCTCTCTAAATGAATTGTAATTTTCTGACCTTGGGAAATAATCTAGCAGGCATGAAAATACTGACCTTGCTCAGAATGACTCACAATCTTCAAGCTTTTGCATTCATGTGCTGCTGTAGTAGAACTGAGAAGCTGACCATAATTAGATATGGCTTCTGTAAAATATGCAGCAACGTTATGTGAATAGACATGCTAAAATTGTCACCAGTTTAGACACAGGAAGAATTTACAGCTGTTCCTGATATGGTTCCTTTGCAGTGAAAGAAGAGGAGAAGAGGAAGCTGTTAAAGCGAGGTAGTGAGCTAAAGAGTGAACATGAACAATTGGAGGAGAAGGACAGACTGCTCAGCAATGCTGTCACGGTGAGACTGTACACTTATACGGTTGAGTACAGATTGCAGATCTGCTGAAATATTGACTGGGTTCCATTAAATGTGTGTTCTATTCTCTGCCCCTCTTCTAGATAGGCTGGATTGGAAAACAGTTATTTGTCAGTGTATTCCTTAGGAGACAAAAATATCAATCATTTCTCAGGTGGTGTCAGTCTGGTAGAGTTGATACCATCCTCACCCCTGAATCAAGGTTGTGGATTCAAGCCCCATGTTGGGATTTTGAACTCGTGCAGTCTAGGCTGACACTCCAATGCTTTGTTGGGGGTCTGTTACATTGTTGGAAGTGCTGTCCTTCAGGTGAGACTTCAAACCAGGCCTCATCTGCCTGTTTCCATGGACATTAAAGACTCCATTACACTATTTGAAAAGAGAAGGAACTTTTTTCAGTATTCTAGCCAACAACTCAAACAAAATCAGTCATTCACTTCAGACAACGTGTGGAACAGTGTTGCATGCAAAATTATCAGCTTTGTTTGTCTACAAAATACAGTCACTACACTTTACAGTAAATCCTGTGAAGTGCTTTGAGACATCCTCCTGACGTGAAATATGCTATATTAAATGAAATGCTCATTATTTATATCCAACTCTGAGCTGCGGTCTTCACCCTAGATTCCATAATCACTGATGTCATAACAGCCTTTCCAGGAATTGATAGTTAATCCAGAATAATACTTTCAAGTGCACAAAGACATCTGAAAAAGAGAAAATAGGTTTAGAGTTGCAAATGTTTCTTAACCCAAAGGGTAATTATTAACTGGGATAGTTTACCAAGAAGGGTGGTTGAGGTCAGACACTGGACTCATTCAAAGAAAATATCAATACTGTCATGGGTGGTTGGGTATTCTGGAAGGATCAGATCAAAAGGGCTAAAAAATCTTTTTTCGTCCAAGCAGGATATATGGAAGTAAAATTGATCATATTTGTAATTCTTTCACATGATGTGATTCGTGTCCTGTATCGAATTGGTTAAAGCACTTGCCTAGAAAGAGAGAGGACCTGGGTTTGATTCCCGGGCAGGGTGAAACTTTAGGCAAGTTTCCTTACTCACACGTTTCTGTTCACTAGTAGTAAGTAGGAACCCAGTTGTTAGTCGATTGCTATATGTGCTATGGTGTGTGGAGAATGCATTACAGAAAGATTAAATATCTTGTATAGAATTTTTCATTCTTCAAATATATTATCTTCCACATCCCCTCAGGTCTTGTTGGACTGTTTTAGAATGATAGGTTATAAAGAGCTTTGGTCCCTAACATGTGTGTCTACTGGATAATTGAACTGATCCCCGACATATGTGCTTATTGGAGAGTGCAACTGATTCTCAACATGTATGCTTGACTATGTGTGAGAAGGATGGGGGTCCACATATTATTTGTTGCCTAACCGGATAATGGATGAATAAAAATTCACAGTGAGCAATGGAACACATGAGATCCATACTTCTGCCTCACCGAGTAAAAGGTGTACATTCAAGGAATGAAGAGTCTGCAAGGATAGTCATCTTTTCATACAAATGAAATAGTTTTATATCTGGGGTGAAAATCAATTGCATTTGAGGACCTTAGCAATCAAAGCTATCCACCCTAAGAAAGATTTTAAGTGAAAAGATCTTCTCACTTTAGAATTATTCTTTTTATTCAACAGAAATGTCTAGAACTGAAAACAAATCTGATAGCTAAACAGAGAGGAACTCAGGCCTCCCTGGAACGTGTGAAAACCCTGATTAGACTGATGCAGAGTGAACAAGTGATTCAAGTTACCATGATGACAACCACCGCCACCTCCCAGCCCTCCCCTCTCGTCTCCCTCCCATGGATGAAACCTTCACCTGCCCCAGGGACCTCTCCAACCACCTTGCAGCAGCAGGCACAAGGGAAGAACTAATGGAACTGAGAAAATACACCTTTGCAGGTTTAATTACCATTGTTTGGGCTATTGTTACACGTTTTTAAGTGTGGGAACACAATAGGATTTGACAGCTGGTCAGTGCAGTATGGTACACAGAGAATGTTGCAGCAAAAAAAAGCACTAAACAGGCAGTTTGTACTATTACAGCATTTCGCCACTACTTTTAAAGCTGAAGAGATTTAAATTTTTTATTTTTTTTATGTTGGCCTTAATGTTTTGAGTTTGGATAAAGAATGTGGCTGCTGGAAGAAATGTTGTCTTCTCCACAAGAAGTGGGCTTTATGACTAGCAGAAGGAAACACAAAAAGCCCATAAACAGCAGAATACACTGAAGTAATTTAACAGTTCTGATAAAGCTGTAACATATAAAACTTTTCCCAGTGAAATGGGGGTTTCATCTCCTAGTTTTAGGACTATATAATATTGTAACCAAGTTTCAACATGCAAATACTCAGTTAACACAGTGTTGAGGGGCAAAAAATGGATTTATGGATTTTCAGAGCATACAAACAAAGTTTAATTTTTTCAGTATTAATATCGGTGAGAATCACAGATATTTAAAATAAAATATGAGGTTAGCTTTTAAAGTGGGATGAGAACAGTATTTTCCTGCTAATGCCTAAGGAACATGATTTATCAAGTATTTAAAGGATATTATTACAAAACACTTTCAAGTCCTTCTGACTTACGTTACTGTTAATGTTTTGTGCAGAACAATGCTTTTACCATAGAGCGGGTATTTTTGGGAAGCCATTCCAGTCCTTTCATTTCTTTTTTTTCAAGTACTGTATTTGCCAGATTTGTTTTTAAAAAATGCCAAAAATGTGTTTCCTTCTTCAACACTGTATTTATATTGCAGTTTAAACAAAACTTAGGATGTTGGTAGCATGAGGGGGAGGTGTGGGGGAGGGAGGGATGATATCTGCTACATGGTACATGAAACTGCCTCAGAATCGTAACGAATATTGGTATTGAGCTAGAATCAAGAGGACAACAATATAAAAGTATTTTGCAGACTTTGTTTCTTTCCTATTTAATAAGTGACACTCAAATAGGCTTTGACTGATTTAGTTTAGGACAGCTACTTGATTCACTAGCTCGTCTTCTTGATGATAAAGGGTCTGCGCCTTTGTAGGCCATAGCTGTTGGCATGGGAAGCTTGAGGCCTGCTCTAGCAATGCACAGCCCCTTAAAACCATTTTCACAATTCCGGGAAAAACTGTGCAGTACAATGCAAATCTATTTTATTACAGTCAACACTTCAATGAACAAGATTTTATATTCTTTTACTGGTGAACAAAAAAAAGAAACCACAAGATGCTATACTTTGGTTTAATGCCAATATGCATTCTGATGTGGCTTGCAATGTAAATGTTTCAGGTTAAATGTTTTTTGATGATTAAAGAGAAAAAAAACTTCAGTTAGAAAATATTAAGCAGTTTGATAATTTACGGGAAAAGGCTTGGTCTGTTAGCTTAGTTGTTAAAGGGCTGTCCAGTGGATAGTGTGCATCGAAAGTGTCTTCATTTTAATTCTGCCAATGTAGTTCTTTATTTAAAAAGATTAAAACTGAATTGTGAATTCCACTTGTATGTACTTGTATAAAGCCATTTGTAGTTGAGTAACTGTATCCTACACTCCATTGAATGCTGGAAAGGGATAATTTTGCTTGTGTTGGCTTGCACAAGTTGTAGCTTTAAATATATCAGAACAATCAAGCCTACTGAACATTCTCTTTTGCATATCCCAGTTTATTGATTAAGTTCAGGGATTTGTAACTGATATTTTCTCAAACATCACACCTGTATGAATAATACAAGGCACACAAAGCCTAGTTTTTATGCATCTCTGTGAGGAGGGGAACAAAACAAATCTGCTGCCTCTTTAACCTTCTCATAGTTTGAATTTTTTTTTAAATTGTCCGATGTGGCTTTTCTGTTTCCAGCAAACTCCATGCAGCCCCACATCAAGAAAAAAAAACTATGCAGCTCAAAGGACAAGCACATGAACTATCTACATGTGCCCAATCTTTTAAGGCTTATCCACAGGTTGACACTTTCAAGTAGTGTTTGTTGCAAATGTTTGTTTGTCTGGAGTAAATGTTTCCACCATTGTGACAATTCACCAAGTTCATCCACTTCGGTGACCTATATTCATTTGTTGTTTTTTTGGGCAGTGAATTTTATAGATAGAGATGTGAAATTTATTATCCATTTACTTGTAGTGAGACCCTTTTTAGGGCTCTCTAAGAATTTTATCAGTACATAAAAAAGCTGCATTTCCACAGATGTTGGGTTGAAATGGCAGTGTAATTGACTGCTTAGAATGTAACTAATGGAAAGCTTGGATGTTGCCACTTTGGATATTCTTGGTGGCCTTAGTGGAGAGGTTTATATTTTAATTGAGTACAACTCCAAGGACCTTCAGGCTAAAGCTGGGATTTTTAAAAGGGCAGCCCTTCAATTATAACTGGGAGAGTTCAAAAGCCATTTCCTCACTCACTTTCAAAAGGCTGACTGGGCTAACCGTTATTCTGTTCCCTCTCCCCTTAAATTGGATGCATTTCTCAGGTAGACACAAACCAAAATTTAGAATTGGAGTGTGTGGCCTTGCAGCACTCATCCCTCCCCCAAATATCTGAAGTAGAATTGTGATTTCCAATAGGGTGTTGCATTTGCCCCCTTTTTTAAAAAAAATGTTATTTCCAACTGCAAACTTTAAAGGAGCAATCTATCCTAATCATTCTCCAACTATTAAACATATTTCATTCTGTAGAAAGTGCTACTATTGAATTTTACTAACATTTGAATGCATTATTTTTTCTTTATTGAACAAATCTGCTGTTTTTGTTTCCAATAGCTGGGTTTTGTTTCATTGGGTTCCTGGATTGCAACCCATTGTGCTAACTTTTGATTCACCAAGAAAGCTAAAATATATTGCGAAATTACATTGCAGACTTCATTTGAGTTAGATGTATTAGCACCAAATGGTGATTTTTCTTGTTAAACTTTTGGTGAAAGGATGGAATTCTCTTTTCGATGATTTAATTAGAGTTAAAACATCAATCACAAACAAAGTAGAATCTGAATGCATTGGTCATGGAGAATTTTTAGTATATCACTTCTACATTCAAAATACTCAGGCTTCTCAAAAGCACATGGCCATTTAGTGCAAAAAGCTTGACAGCATTCCAAGTGTGTTCTGGTGCACTGAATGCTTAACCTCTATCCACAGCATATCCTCCCAGTGGAATAACCTCGTGCTAACCACCCTTAGGTGCCATACCTGCAGGAGCCTTAAGTAACAAATTTCTGTTGCTGCTTACTTTTTCATTGTAAAATTCCGGTAGACATTTGCATCTTACAGAGAGCTGGTCAGGGATATTATTCTAAGCCTTTCTTTTTGTGGCTAAATGCAGAGACTTTCACACAGTAATCTGTTTCACCACACATATATATATATTATATATAAAATATATATATAATATATATATAATTCTGTTCATCATCTACTTTAATGGTTGGAGTCTTAACTCTTTTGCCTCCACACCACATGAAAACATTATTTTTTGCGGGATAGACAATTTGTGGAACAGATTACCTTGCAGTAGAAGCTGGTAGAGGTCAATAACAGATATATTTGAAAGGTACAAAATTAGCAGCTGTATTTCATTTGTTCTGCAGATATCTTTGACAGGTGTTTTTTCTAAAATGTTTTGATCCAGTAGCCAGCAAGCATGCAGAGTGCCTTGAAAGGCTGAGATTTTAAAAAGAAAAGCACAGCCAAACCAACCTCTGTGCAGTCTTTCCATGTTTAAAATATATCATTGTACATTGTAAATATGCATATTTAAAGAACATGTTCACCTTGACTTGACTGAATGGCAAGCTTAAGCATTGTATAGAAAGCAAAATGAATTAGCTTTCTCACTGTTACAATTTAAGAAGGCTCACTTGACTGAGCAGGCCAAGGTAGACAGATGAAACTCAGAAATATTGTCCCAGATGTATCATGTAAAATATTATAAGTCCACTGAATAAGCAAAGATTCAGAAGAGAAACAAAACTCTATCATTATAGTTTTGATTTAATTACAAATGTGTTGATTTTTTTTAATTCACACTTTTTTTTAATTGTTTTGTCAAATAAATGCATTTAGCTTGGTGTCTCAAACTACCAGAACCGCATATGCATCATGTTTTCATTTTATATATAGGGTCAAACCTGTTAAAACAACCACCTCTTATTTCAGCAATCACCTGCTGTTAGCAATCACTCTGGAACAGTCCTAACTGATTTTCTATAATAAACCACCTCTGTTCAGCAAACACCTATTAAACACAACCTGTGGCCACTCTTTTTTTTAGTCCCGTCAGTGTAGATATCCTTTTCAGTGACCACTTCTAAGTAAATTTAAGTGTACTTAACAGCAATGCATTACCAATTTTGGGATCCTTGCATGTAGATTATAAGATGAGGAAGGATAAAGTGTGGTTCAAGAAAATTGCTAGACATTTACATGAGGATTTGATTTCCTTTCAATTGTAAATGATAGAAAGTCGAATCTGACAAATGGAGAGCAGATTTGGCAGAGTTTGCTTTTGTTTGTGTAAAATTAATCAGAATATCCCTCTTTATAATATTACCATGTATTTGATATTGGCCTCAACTAACAAAATTAGTGCAGAAAATTCATCTAATCAAAACTACCTGTAGTTTGATTTATGGGTTTGAATGTGCACTGCACTGTATGTTTCTATACACATAGAAATTCTACACACGCAAATGAATCCTACCTCAGAGGCAACTTTGGTCCAGTCCTCTGAGTGGTTGCTGAAAATAGGTTTGACTGTATACAGTTAAAATAAAAACAAAATGTAAGCAGCCATTTAAAAAAACTACCTGTATACAAATCACATATGAGCAGATATCCTTGCCAAGTTAGTTTTATTTTTGACTTGGTAAATATGAATACAGCCAAACCTGTTGTTTTTGTATGCAATTCTAGCTGTGTCTTGTTTTAGATATTTACTAGATCTTATATAGTATATTTTCCATTTCTGTTTTTTTGGGGCTGTGCACCTCTTGGCTATGAAGGCACAAACTGTTTCCAACTTGTACTCATACCAAGCGTTGTGCATAAATTGGAAGGGTACTTATGAAAGTTTGGGGAATGAAGTCTGTGTCCCCACTCACTGTAGCACTGCACATTGCTCCTGGTTATTAGCATTGCTTTATTTTATACATTTTGATCTGTTTGCCCTGTCCTGCCAACAGGAATCCAGCTGTGTATTCAACATTTGCTTGCACGTGTAGAACAGAGCATTTGATAAGATTAAATTGTTTTATTTTCCTCCTTCTCTGAAAAAAATGCAAAGCAAAAGGGTGCACACTGACCACTGGAGGGTGCTTTTAATAAAAATACACAAAAAATAAATCTAGATAATCATTATTGGATGAATATTCTTTGTTAGATATTTGTAAGAAAAAATAGTATTATTCTGAATTATTAGTTAGTTTAGTATTTGTATGACTCTGGTATATGGAAGGTGAAAGTGCAAATGATATGTCGAGTGGATTTGTGAGCATTTTGTTCTAAAGTGTGGTAGTATAGCAATAAGTTTTTTTTAAAAAAAACATTTAAGAAAAGTTACCACCAGATGCAGAAAGTGTTCCGATACATTTGTAAAGTTTTTTTTCTTAAAAAAATCTATGTATTTACAGATGCTCCATGTAATGGCAAAATATTCTGAATGAAAAATGAACTGTTTGTTTGAATCTGGTGCTGACTGCTTTTTCCTCCCCTTTAAAACTGTTATTTCTTGATATCTTCCTCTCTTACCCCCCCGCTCACTATCAAAAGAACATAGTTGTTTTGGTTTTTCGTTCACAGATTTTCCATCTTGGAGAGCCAAGAAAGGGCTTTAACAATTCAAGTATTATAATTAAAATCATGCCTGATTAATTGTGTGAAGTGTATCCCATAGTTGATAGAAATTCCCCAGATTCAATCAACGTGTGCTGAGTTAGCTTTTCTTAGCAAGCGTAATAATGGTAATTCACTTCATTGCTCTGAGACTGGGAGGATATCAATCCTGTCTTCTGGAAGTTATCCAGCTGCCCCAGAAGAAAGGGTATGTATAGTCATTAAGATGACAAAATGGAACTAAACTGTGATCCAGCCAGATGTATAGAATGTGTACACCAGCTTGTCTGCAGTAAGGCCATGGGTGCGTTTACCAATCCAGAATTGAGATCCATTCTGATTGTTTTAAATCATGAAAAGATTAGAGTACAGCACTATGTAATCCTGAAATGTCTATATTTTATGTATCACAACAGTAACCCTTTAACTGTATAGAGCAAGCCTCAAATGTAATCTTTTGCTCTGTGAATGACTGCAAATAGATGTTAGCCAGAATGGGCTTTTTTTACTGTGAAGGGGTTCGATGAGGTCACTGGATGGACATCGAGATTGGCAATTCTTCTGTAATTAAAAAGTGAAGTCAAAGTTAGTTTTTATTTTTATCATTTTAATGTGGTTGGAGAATACGACGCTTTGTGGGTGCGATGTGCTCCCCCATACTAATTTTGATACTGTGGTTGGCCAGTGTAACTTCCTTGTTTCATAAGTTATAGAAATGATCATTGGTGCAGTGAAAGTCAAGGCCATAAGTAACAATACCACTTATTTGGATTATTTTTATTCATGTGTTCCCTCCCTCTGGTATCATTGGCGATGTCTGCAGGTAATCTTCAGACATTACCTCTGCAGAGCTGTGAACTAGTAATTGAAGTGAATGAAGACCACTGCCTCTTTAAAATATCTTCCCACATTGCATAATACAATCACCTTAACACTATCAGTCAGTTGAGGTTTGTCAGCATATGAGTAAATTCTGTGACAAAAAAAACGTTCAACAAATAACCCATCCAGTCGAGCAATATAATAACCAATGCCAAATGTAAGATGGCTGATGGTCTTACATTCAGTTGTTCATTTTGATGGCAGGGTCGAAGGCTACGGTAGCATCTCATTTCGCAGAATCCTACAATTGAATATTTGTCTGTAGTACTCGATCAGAAGTTCAGTGAACATATTGATTGGGGGCAAGGCGTTCAATGTTGCAGGACCCTTTGAGGGCCAGATGAGGTTCACTCCAAAAACACATGCTAGGTTTGATGGGGTCATTTTATTAAAAATGCTTTCTTGGGACACCTAAAAATCACAGAGAAAAAAACACATTTAACTTTTGTGAAACTATTTGAATAATCTACGTCAGCAACTATCTGCAACTTCAGTGAACAGAAATTCAAAACTTTCAAGTGATTAATTTTTAATTGGTGTTTGTTCTGATTTCCATTATTTGGATGGAGTGCCTCCTTGTCAATACTTTCAGCTCAAATTACCTGTTACCCTCCTGAATTCAAATTGCATTTCACGTGGGTTGGTGGACAAATGGGTGGGTGAATGGTGGGGGGAGGATTCTTCCAGGAACGTACACGATGAGCTTCTGGGTATTATTTACTCTTTCCTTTCCATTCACCATGTCACAGAATGCTTACACAAAAGGATATCATTCCTTACACTGAATACATTTTTCTGGGCAAATTTATTTGGTGCTGAACCCACCAATCAGTTTATCAAATGCCTGAACTGGATATAATTAGTACCTCATGTCCTCTGAGTCCACTTGTTAGTTCTGCTAAGTATAAACCTCTGATCATATCAGGAACTATACAGAATGCCTTCATCAAGAAAGGGATAGGGATTCGGAGGGTGATTTTTAAGGATTGTCCACAGCTCAAGTACCAGAAATTGGTGGGTAGTAAAACTCGCATAAGTCATCTCACAAATTGTATAATTGACTGTGTCATACATGCACCCGAGTCCAATTCCCTTTCCTACCAAAAAAATGCATAGATTTCTCCGAAACATCGCCAGACTACGGCACTACCTCACCCCTCACGCTGCTGAAACTCTGGTCCATGCCTTTATCACCTCAAGGCTGGACTATGGGAACTCTCTCCTCGCCGGCCTTCCCGGCACCTCCCTCCACAAACTGCAGGTCATTTAGAACTCTGCAGCTCGTGTACTGTCCCGCATCACTCCCACCCTCGCTCGCCTCCACTGGCTTCCCATCCCCCAGAGGATTGAATTCAAGATCCTCACCTACAAGACCATTCACGGCCTTGCTCCCTCCTACCTCTCCGACCTACTATCCTCCAATCTACCTGCCCGTACCCTCCGTTCCTCTGGCTCCGGTCTGCTCCATATCCCCCGCCCCAACCACCCTACCATCGGTGGCCGGGCCTTCAGCCTCTCAGCCCCGAGGCTCTGGAACTCTATCCCCCAGTGCCTTCGCCTTGCTTCCTCCCTTTCCTCCTTCAAGGCCGGTCTCAAGACCTTTCTCTTTGACCGTGCCTTCAGCTCCCCTCTCGACTCTCTACTCCCTCCTCGCCCCTTCCCTTCCCTCCCCCTGACCATTTCCCCCCTCCTCGCTCCCTCCCTTCCCTCACCCTGACCATTTCCCCCCTGCTCGGGTCCTGACCCAACTGTCCAGCGCTTTGGGACGTCCTCCCGACGTGAAATGCACTCTATCAATGGAATCTTGTTGAAATGAGAGTATTTTATAAGTCAGATAAACAGCTCATTTGTAATGCTTTCCTATGCAAATCATTTCCTACCTCTTAACAACAACATTACATTTATAGAGCGCTTTTCACATTGGGAGGATGTCCCAAGGTGCTAGACAGTCAGGGATCAGGACCCGAGCATGGGCGAGGGGTGGGGTAGGGGGAGGCAGAGAAGTGGGAGGGTGACTGAAGGCATGATTGAAGACGAGGGTCTTGAGACTGGCCTTGAAGGAAGCAAGGGAGGAAGCGAGGTGAAGGGACTGTGGGATGGAGTTCCAGACCGTGGGGGCAGAGTGGCTGAAAGCTCGGCCACCGATGGTAGGGCGGGTCAGGCGGGAGACATGGAACAGGCCGGAGCCTTAACCCTCAATGCTGCTACTGCACTTACCAGCTGCATTAAAATTCACATGCGCAGTGTTCCATTTGAAACAAGCATAGGAAACAAAGTCTTCTCCTCACCACATGTGCACTTACTGGCTGCAGTGATGAAATACTGCATGTGAAGTGCAGTACAGAGTACTCCACTGAAACGTGTACAGAGGTTTTGACCCATCATCATGGCATCAGTCAATACAAATACAACTAAACCCACGTTAGTGACAAGGACCTTGCACTTGTTTACTGTATTTGATGTGAGTTAGTCAGAAAATCCAACTTATATATAACTTTGCATAAGTCGTATCATATATGTAAAGTTTGCCTGTAACATACTTTGAGCAAGTCACATTAAATGTTTTGGTCGTGACTGATGCAACTTATGCACTGTAATACACCAAAGGCACTCTCCACATCCAGTCTTTATTTTACAAATTCATACAGAGCCTTTCCTTAAATAAAGCAGACTGCAAAAATACTCACAATGTTGAGGAAACATATCAAATATTTCACAACGATGTAATTGTGTTCTGGAAGCTTCTGCACAATCTCCCTGCACCGAGCCACTCGTAGGCTGCTCTCAATAGCTACAATTAAACAAAATAAATCATATTTAGACCATGAAATTGGCCATGTAAAAGTACAATTGCATTGTTTTTTCTCACTGGAGTGCTCCATTGAAGTTAACCACATAATTTATATTGTGCACTTCTGAGCCTTAAAGCTCCTTATTTTTCAAAGTTATTTATACAACCACAGAGCATCACAAGTTCATGCATTACAATGAAAGATCCAGACAGACTTGTATCAATCTTTATACAACTTTACTTCTTTGAAGGGGTGTTATTCCTCAGGAATCCCCAAATTCCAACTGTTACTTGTAAGCAGCATTTAAGAAGCAAAGTTTATACAATTTACTGTCAAATGTGATTTCTCAGACATTGGATATTAAACTTTTAAAAAGGTTAAAATTATTGAACATTCTGGAAAAGTTCAGTGTTGGTGGAAACCCTGGTCCATTTACAAACAAACAGGTCTGCTATATGACCAATTGCCTTTAAACTTAATATAATTTTGATTTGTTTGACAGCAGACCCTTCCCCGTCTTAAGTCTCCATTCACAGGGCTCTTCCACAGATTCAAATCCAACCTGGATGCGATCATATCTTGGGTCATCCACACTTTATAAACTGAATGGATGACAATCTCAAATGAACAAGTGGAATGGATCCACAGCATAAACTGCAGCATCTGTGAACTGGCACAAAATTAGAGTGTAAATTGAAGTTTAAAGATAGCGAATATGAGATTTAAAAGAGAATTTAGGAGGAACTACTGTACTTCAGGTAGAGGATAGTGAGAATTTGAAACTGCCCAAAGCAATGGTCAAAGCAAATAGTATAGATGAATTTAAGAGGAAGCTAGACATACATATGAGAGAGCAGGGTACGGGAGTAAGTCGGGCCTCATGTGGAATAAAAATGCTGTCATGCATTGGTTGGACCGAGTGAATAGTTTGTTTCTGTGCTGTAGAGTCTATGTAAATCTGCGTTAAAGCTGATTTCCCAGACAAAGAGAAAGGACTAAACTGGACTACTCAGTTTCTCATCCCCTAACCCAATTGTTGCTTATTTTACATTTGCAGTAAATATAGGTCAACAAAAATACCCAATAAACTCACATTTCTGTAACTGGATTAGATAGTAGGATGTCAATAGTCACCTTGTCCTGCGCAGAAATGATGAGCTCAGCTCTTTACTGGCTGAGAACATCAAAGACTTCCAAACAGCTTTGATTTTGCTATACAAGACACCATTTGGTGTTCAAGATAAAGTGAGCAAATTGCCTTTAAAGGCAAGTAAGCTCTTTGAGGCAAAACTAACTAGCTTCCTCACGTTCCCAAATTAGTTTCAATTCTTTGGAGAAACTTTTATTGAAGAAGTAAAACCAAAGAAAAATGTTTTGGAAAAAAATAGACACAATACACCAAAGCCATATAGTGAGCTATTTTACCCTTCAATGAAAAGATGCAAATGAAACAACATCTCAATAGAATGTCTTTTACAGATTCTCCAGTAGATCATTTTATTTAAGATTTGCTATTCATCAATGGTAGAGATAACACAGAGTGCAGATTTGCTACAAAATGTGTTTAAGATTCATAAAATCCCACCCCATGTTATAGTGAGACAGGATAGTGAGTTGCTCTACAAAAAATAATAATTCTTGCATTTGATATAGGCCCTATCACATCTTCGAAATGTTTCAGCGCTTCACAGAATATACTGTAAAGTGAATTGACTGTATATTTTGTGGGCAAAACACGGCAGCCATTTGTGCACAGCAGTGTTCCACAAACAATCGTGGATTGAAGTGACCAATTTTTTTTCAAGGAATTATTACCCCCGGAAAAGTGATCCGCCAATCGACTAACAACCAGGTATTAAATTACTGCTAGGTAAACAGAGGCGTGCGGAGTAAGGAAACTTGCCCAACATTTCTCTCTGCCGGGAATCGAACCCAGGTCGCTTGCTTGTGAGGCAAGTGCTCTAACCACTGAGCTACAGGACTCCACAATGAAAGCAACTGACAGCAAACATGGAGCGTGCCACCTGGCTGAATGGTTGGTGGGTGACCACAATATAATTTCTGGTTTTCTGTGCGTGTGCAAAGCTTTTTTTTAAGCATGGAGTTAAAAGACTTTCATATCTTTAGGTTGGTGCCAATGTCACTTTTGTTCTACCATCAGTGACTGTGCTTTCAGCCGCCATTGCTCCAAGACTCTGGAACTCTATGCCTTAATCCCTCCGTCTGCCCTTCTTTGTCCATCGTCATATCACATCTGAATACCTTCCTCTTCAACCATTCCCACAGTCATCCCGGCTCGACATCAGGCCCCACCATTATTAAGTGAAGGGCGCTATATGAATGCTAGTAGTTGCTGCTACACATGTGCAACAAAGAGGGAAGTCACGAGGATGCCAATCTAATGAATCAGAAGTCAGCCATTTTTGTGCGAAAGAAATGCTGGTTGGTGCATGGAAACAGACAGCTGTGTGCAGACACAATGCAAGTGATCCACGGTACAACTGTAGTATAAGCAAATTCACCCCCATAGTGGAGTGCATTATAGCAGGGCTGCACTAGATTACTACACACCTACTTTCACAATGATACCACTATAGATAATTGCTATAACACTGGTTTCTATTTGTTTTATAAATAGGGAAACTATACAAAATAAAATGATCTAAAGCCATGGTCAGAGCCCAAGGATTAATGCATTAATGCAAGAATCCAAAGGTACCATCGAGAGGTCTGAAATTTCTCATGGCCTTTGCATTAAAACTGATGTGAGTGAGACTTTTCCCTGCTTTCTGGAACTCTCACTAAATTCCTCTGACCTCGCTCTCTGCTTTTAGGAACTGAAACTCTATTTCAGTTACTTCTATTCTGTGCAGCTTAACATCACGTCGGGTCAACAATGTACACATTACACAAGTGCATTTGACAACATACCTATCTCTGGGGCAGTGGCAGTAAATGTGCAAGTCCTATCTGCTACTTTTATCTAAATATCAGAAGTAAATGTTTTAAACTCACAGGTGAAATTTGTTGTGAAAAGAAAGACAAGTATCTACTTACCTATAATGCTTTGGATCTGGTCATACAACTGAGTGGTCAACAGTGGCTGAGGAAGCTCCCGGAGAAAAGTTTTCAGGATAACAGCAGGAATATGTTCATCTCCATACTCCTCAAATGTAATCACTTTCCCTGAAAGAACAGAAATTTGGAACATGATCAATCTCGCGTTTATCAACAACAATAATTGACACCGTCTTTCATATCTCAAAAGTGCTTCACAACGGACAATGAGCCCAGTGCTGGTGGGGACAGAGGCTCACGACGGAATTAACAATTTTCCACTCAGTTTGGTCTGACCCCTGTTACCTACTTGCAAAGTATTCGAGCTAGACCCAACCGAACTTAAAAGTGTTCAATGGTAAAAACAATCGTCTTGGTACATATGTATCTCACCAGCACTTCAGCATACTGCACATTCCTGAGTATTATTAACTTTATTTTCCTGCTCGCTGCAGAATACTCCACTCTCCAATGATTGTTTCCTCATCTCACCAACCACTAACCTAGATTGTACTGCTTCTGAATCTCCTTTACGACACTGACACTGGCTGATCGTCGGAACAACCCCTCAGTTCGAAGTGCTGCAAACAAGAGAACATTGAAATCCTTAGGTCGTTCTCTCTTCAAGTAACAGCCTCGATTAATGCAGCTGTAATTTAAAGAGGTATGGCATTTATACAGAGGAACTGCATGAGTATGGAAATAGACAGTCATATGTGCTTGGATATGTATTGCATGGCTCATGACTTTCAAAACAGAGATCACAGTATAATGTGGCAGTGGTGACATCATGACCAAGGAAGCTGCAAACTCAATTGAATACTCGTTTGAATGTAGACTCGATGTCTATTAGAATGTTGTCTTTGTGTTTGCATGGTATTGTTTTGGTCATTTACACCCCAACTGTCTCAAAGTCTCAGTTAAAGCATGTTGTTGTCTGAAGGGGGCCTGCTTTGCATGAAAACTCATCATCTGAAAGAATGTGGATGTTGTGAGTGTGAAAGTATAAGGGGATCACAACACTAGGTGTTTGAGCAGGCAGGAAAGTTGCACCTTGGAGGGACTTGTAATAAAAAGTGGTCAGCTTGCTCCTCTGCTCAAACCGTAGGTGCCAACATTTTAGGTATTCGGCTGCAACTTAATTTAGGAGTCAACAGCCTATTTACTTGGCATAAAAAACAGTGACATTTGAGACATACCTTTTTGCTTCAAGAAAGATACAGTCTGCCTCATGACCAAAGGAATTTGTTCTCCATTGGCCTTGTCTTGTAGACTAGTATTTAAAAAAAAACAAATATTGTTATTTTATGTCTGTAATTGCACACATCATTGCTATATTATAACAACTATTAGTTCTGTTTATTCACATTTCAACCCACTTTCTCAGGGTGTGTCCTACAACCTCAAAAATAGTCGATTTTTTGGTATCAATTCAGAATGCAACTAAGAGGTCTAATGAAACATGCCGATATTGTAAAGAGTACTTCAGAGTTTTTAAAATGACAGATCACACTTGAATAGATAATAATAATCATCTATTAATTATTAACAGGAGAGTATAAAGAAATACAGTTATGGGATATGACTTTAATTAAATCTTTATAAGGGAGTAACAGAATGCAGAGAGACATACTCAGTACAAATCTGTGGTTTGTGACCAGGGAGAGCTTGGTATCATGATTGTAGCTACTTGATTTGACAATTAACTTTTTGGTTCCTTTTTTTCCCCATTTTGTCAAGTGTGTAGGTGGCAAAAATTCCTTGAGTCCAGACATATGTTAACAGATTACGATTTCATGGTATTTGATAGTTAAATAAACAGCCTTCCTTAACAGGAAACACTAACGTTGAATATGATTGGTTTTCTGAAGGCAAAATAAAGAAAAGTTGGTACTTATTTTTGTAATTCATTCAGGTGTTCACAATAATACTTTAAACATATTTGTGCCACGTTGCTAAATTAAGGAATTACTTGAGAAAACTAACAATACGGCTTCTGAAGATTGGGTGCTACAAATTCTTTTCAAATACCAATTCATAAAATCCCTCTGAATGTATAAGTGAGTAAAAAGTGAATTAAAATGACACTGACTTACTACTGCAAGCTGACTCCAAACTGCTGATGAGGAAGTGGAGGCCGAGGTGGGGGAGTCTTTGCTGGTCGGGGCAGTCCTCCCTTTTGTAACGCTCTCAGCTTTTCATCATGCCTGTTAAAATGATTTGAACAGAATAAACAGGCTAAAACTTTAAAATACATTTTTTTCTTCTCCAACGGGTTACTCTTTTCATAAGTAACTATTGTTTTATTTTCCCCATACAGTCAAATGGACAGGCAAAGATTCAATTCTCTATAATGCTGTTTTTTTAAAAAAAATAAAGCAGTCAAGAGAGGGCATGCTGCCATTCAATGCAAACTAGTCCTAAAAGTTCTTCATCCACTACAAAGAGGTTCTTCACTATACTGTGAAGAACTGCATTAACAATGCGATTTCTTTAAGGGAATAAGAGTCAAATATAAAGCCAAGATTGGGAATCAAAGGGAGACTTATTGCAACTACAAGCAAAAAAGTAAAACATCTGATGTGTCAAGTCTAACTTATAGACTTCCAATTATGGGTTTTGACCCTCTGGAAGCCAAGTTAAACACTTGCAAAGTAGCACTTCATCAGCAACGGCAACACTCAACAATACAGAGTTGCGTTTATTATTTAGGAAACAATATACAATGAAATAAGTCACTTTTAGAGTAAGTTATTGATACTCTGAATGAGTGAAACATGGTAAGTATTCTGTTGCTGTGCAATGTAAAGACTGCTATCATTAAAGCTGATGATACAGTATTCAAGATATTCAAAGTCTGTTTGCACACGCCAGAGTTTGTGCAGAAGCAATGATTTTGCATGAACAGCTATGTGTTTGTGCAGTGAGGAACAATAACATTGGCACAACCAAACATTAAAAAAGCCTCCAAGACCAGTAAGTCTTTTCTAAGACGTTGTGCCCAAAACTCCAGTACGCCAAATGTGGTCTATCTATGGAACTGTACAACTGTAACACCACTATATTTTATATTCCATCGTTAAGGATTTGCACTCAAGGGTTGAAATCAAGAGGGTTGGATGGTGGTAAAGGGGGGTGGGGGGAGGGTTGGAATGTAGCCAAAGGCACATTCAAAGAGGAAGGTCTTGACAGACCTTGAAGGAAATGAGGGAGGGGGCGAGGGATTCAAGGATGGAGTTACAGAGGGTGAGGGCAGAAAAACTGAAGGCCCAGCCACCAATGGTGGGGCGGGCAAGGCGGGTGGCGTGGAACAGGCCAGTGTCCACAGAACGGAGTGAGCACGAAGATTGGTATGGTGTCAAGAGGTCGCAGAGGTAGAGAGGATCAATGCCGTGGAGGGCTTTAATAGTGAGGACGAGGATTTTAAACTCAATTCTCAGAGGGATAGGGAGCCAGGCGCGGATGAGGGTGATTGGCTCACAGAGCTTGCTACGGAAGAAGAAAGACAGTGGCCAAAGCTGGCCATGTTGTGGAGGTGGGGAACGGCAGAACAGGTCATGACATGGATGTGAGGTTTGAAGGACCTTTTGAAGAACTTCCAAGGTTCCATAATGGCTCTGTGAGGTGGAGAGTGCATCCATGAACAGTATTACAGTCGATGAGAAGGTAAGATTGAAACCAGGCTGGGACAGAACCGTGAAGGTGGAGAGGGGAGGCAGTGGAGAAGAATCGAGTGGCCAACCGTATTGAAGGCAAGAAAGAGATTAAGAAGGACGAGAAGACAGAGAGAGCTCTGATCACAGTTGGACAGAAGTTATTTGTAACTTTGACCAAGACTGTCTCTGTGTTGAGGGCAGCAGGGAAACCAGATTGGAGAGGTTCATACAGAGAATGGCAGGAGAGGAAATGCGAAGCAACGATTCGTTCCAGGACCTTGGAAAGAAGGGGAGGTTGGAGATGGGATGGTAGTTAGAGAAAAGGGATTCCCATTCTCACCAATTTCCTGTACTAGAAATCTCATTCTGTTCCTTCCTCACTCCATTCTCTGTTCTCTTCACTGGGCTCTCTGCTCGAGTTAGGGTCGCCCAAGAATCCCCTTTATATATCCCCCCTCCCCAGACAGAACCAATTTAAGATGGACACCTAACAATTAACACCTGGTTAAAAACAACAAATAATCTGCATATCTGAAATAAGATAAGTTCACGTACCTGATGACTTCTGAAGGGATGATAAGTTGATCAAAGTTCACATGCTCTTGGAGGTCGCTTAAATAATTAACATATGTGACCTTCTTCCCAAACTTATGACTGAAAGAAAAATTGGGCAATTAATAATAAGAGAATACTTCATGCAAAGTTCCAAATCATTTCAAGATCTAATTATTTCAGTGAGTGACTTTACTTGGAATGGGGTTACGGAGAGAGAAACAGAAACAAAGTTTAACACATAGAATTCATAAGAATATAAGAATTTGCCAGGCGAAAGACCAAGGTCCATCTAGTTTGCCTTCCACCATCCTGGCAGTTGCTTGACGTGTCGTGTTCCAAACTATATACTGTATCCTGAGATATTATTTTCTAGCATTAATTTATCTAATTTGTTCTTGAACCAAATGACATTTTCTGCTTCCACTGTCTCCTTATGCATCTGTTCCATAAGTTTACTACTCGCTCACTGAAGTAGTGTTTGCACAGATCTGTTCTGAATTTATCCCCTTTCAATCGCAAGCCGTGTCCTCTGGGTCTACTGCTCAGTAGAAGATAAAACAGTTTATCACGGTCTACATTATCTATTCCCTTCAGAATCTTAAAGGTCGCAATCATATCACCACCCCTCAACCTTCTCTTCTCCATTGTGAACATATCCAGTTTATCTAATCGCTCCTCATTGTCCAGTCCCTCCATCCCTTCAATTATTTTCCATTGAAATTTTGATGAATAAGAGCATGATCAAAATATCACATTTCTATAGTGGAACTTCAATTTAAATGCAACATCAGATAAACTGATATCGATCTCCTTATTGTTGTGAATGTCACTTTGACAAGAACTAAATTGAAAAGAACAGATGACTTTTGGTCGTTCCCTCACCATAAGGTGGGCGTTACGTGATTGGATCACTTAGAGAAATCGTCATGGGCTTGTTGGGAAATGGCAGAGCTGAGTCCTGAACCAAGTGGCAACTAGGTTTAAGTGACCCAACTTTAACTGTGACTGACTGAAACTTCCATGTACATTAATAAAGGAAAATGCCAGAGAACAGGACAACAAAACATATGCAAAACCAACAAATTACATTGTATAGTGCCTTTCACATCAGGAGAACATGCCAAGACACAAAATGTGTCAAAGGAGACAGAAAATGCAGACTGGATAACATTAGTGGCTCTGAAATTAGCCAGAAGACATTGGCAGCCCATGAGGACAGTTGGGATTCAAGATGGTGTATCTTTTCCTTAGAGAGTTATCTTTAGGTAAGTGGGAAAATAGAGATCAACAGACAACAGAGAACTTTCGGGAGAAATAATAATCCTTGCAATTTATATAGCGCCTTATCACGTCTTTGAGACGTCCCAAAGTGCTTCAAAGAATATACTGTAAAGTGAATTGACTATATTTTGTGAGCAAAATGCAGCAGCCAACTGCGAGCAGCAGGTCCCACAAACAGTTGTGGATTGAGTGATCAATTTATTATTATTATTTTTTTGAAGAAATTATTATCCCTGGAAAAGCAATCTGCCAATTGACTAACAACCGGGTTCTTACTTACTGCTAGGTAAATAGAGGCGTGTGGAGTAAGGAAACCTGCCCAACTTTTCGCCCTATCGGGAATCGAACCCAGGTCTCTGAAGTGAGTGCTATGTAACTCCACATCATAGAAAGATACTTTTTTTAAAATACATAAACAACAACTTGGTAACACATTTTTGAACAGAATCGTTTTTCACAAAGCATACCTTATGATTGGCTTGAAAATATTCCAAAGAATACGGATGAAGTTGGTTGGGTGTACGACATAAAGAGCTTTGAGATTTTTCTTGTATCTGGAGAAGAAGAGTGTGGTTTCCTTTAAAAAAACTGTTTCAATTGCGTATTTGAGTTGAAAAATTCCCATAGTTCAATCTTGTACAAAAAATACAAGGAGACAATGCTTTAAAACACACTTTAAGGATTCTTTCTGACACAAATCCATAAGACACATACAACTACTCATGTAATGAAGAAGAAATGTTATGAATGCCCTATTTAAACTTAGATGAAGAATCCAATACAACAGTTCCCTAAATTGTCTACAATAATTGGATTTCCCTTCTGCTGATTTTAGATTTAAAACAAATTGAGAAGAATTTGAATTTATTTTGTTAACCCGATCCAAGCGTTTGTGGAATTTGGAGAAGGATGGATTAGTTGAGCTTTTGGAATATGCTGAAGACGATCTCCAGAATTCTACTGATTCGTGGCCAAATCGGAGACTTCCTGACTTTTGTATTCTATGCCCCTATTTATAATGCCTATTTATAAACCCATATGCTTTTTTTAACAGCTTTATCTACCTGTCCTGCCACCTTCAAAGATTTACTTATATGAACCCCCAGGCCTCTGTTTATTCACCCACTTTAAGATTGTACCATATGGCTTATATTGCCTCTTCTCATTCTTCCTCTCAAAATGCATCACTTCGCATTTCTCCACATTAAACTTCATCTGCCATGTGTCTGCCCATTTTACCAGTCTGTCTATGTCAGTTTGCAGTCTGCTACTATCCTCCTCACTGTTTATGACATTTCTTAGCTTGGTATCATTTGCAAACTTGGAAATTGTACTCCCTATATCCAAGTCCAGATCATTTATATAGATTAAAAAGAGCAGTGGTCCCAATACCGACCCTGGGGGATCCCACTGGACACTTCCCTCCAGTCAGAAAAACTACCGTTAACCATCATTCTCTGCTTTCCGTCTCCCAGTCAGTTCTGTATCCGCTGCCATTGTCCCTTTAATATTGTGGGCTTCTATTTTGCTTACAAGTCTCTTATGTGGCACTTTATCAAACACCTTTTGAAAATCCATATAAACTACATCAACTGCACTATCTTTATCCACCTTCTCCGTTACTTCAACAAAAAACTCTTATCAGGTTTGTTAGACATGATTTACCTTTAACAAATCCATGCTGGCTCTCCTTTATTAACCCATATTTTTCTAAGTGAAAATGTATTTTGTCCCGGATTAGTCTCTAGAAGTTTCCCCACTACTGATGTTAGGCTGACTGGCTTGTAGTTCCCAGGTTTATGCTTCTGCCCCTGGTTGTGTAGGGAGTAACATTTGCAACCATCCAGTCTCTGGCACTACCCCAGTGTCCAAGGAGGATTGAAAGATTGTGGCCAGAGCCTCGGTTATTTCCACCCTTACTTCCCTCAGTAATCTAGCATGCATCCCATCCGGACCAGGTGACTTATCTACCTTGAGCACCAACAACTTTTTTAATGTATCCTCTCTGTTTATTCTTATCTTATCCAATTTCTCTACCCTCTCCTCCGATACTGTGGCATTAGTTGCATCCTCTTCTTTTGTGAAGACAGAAGTGAAATATTCATTTAGTACGTCAGCCATGCCCTCTTTGGTCCCTAATTGGACCCACCCTACCTTTGACTAACCTTTTATTCTTTATATGCTTACAAAATACCTTAGGGTTGTCTTTTATGTTACCCACTAATCTTTTCTCATACAATCTCTTTTCCCCTCTTATTTCCTTTTTCAGTTCTCCTCTGTACTTTCTATATTCTATTTGATTATCTTCTGTGTTTTGGACCTGACATTTATCACAAGCCTCCTTTTTCTGTTTTATTTTAATCCGAATTTCCTTATTCATCCAGGGAGGTTTGGATGGCCAACTTTTCCTCTTTGTGGGAATGCATTTGTTCTGTCCCCGAACTACCTCCTCCTTGAAGGCTTCCCATTGCTCGTTAGCTATTTTAAATTTTTTTTAAATAATTAAAAAAAAATTTCATCCAAAAACCCAGACTTTTATCCAAAATATTTGAAGTAGAAATTTGCCTCCTCAATATAGGATTTTGGTTACTAAACTACACATTTGACATGATAGATTCAAAAGTGGTCCTGAATACTAAAATGCCTTCATTACTGGCCACAAAGCGATTTTGCTTTTGGGGTCACAAGCAATTCAAGAAAACTGAAGAGAATATTTATTTTGCTCCCGTGCACTTTCAGATAACACATAAAACACCGAAAAGTGTCTGCTGTGTCTCCACAGTACCATAATTCCAGTTATGGACACAGCAGTTGCAATGGAAAATATAATTTTACAATATGGCTTCAACTGCTGCACAGAAAAAAAGCACTAACTTGGGCTACACTGATCTTCTGGCAAGTAAAAATATATTCAACCCTTTTTTTTTCAGGGCAACATTTTGGAAATGAGCTGGAAAAAAAATCTAAGTAGCACAATGTAAGCAATCCTGGTCTTTTGATAAGACTCTGCAAACATGTGTGAACTGACCAACATTCACCAACAATTTGCAATCTCTTTGCAGCTTTCACACAAGGCAGAATGTCTCAAAAGAACTTTGCAAAGACAAAATTGGAGTCTGAGACACGAGAAAGATACGAGAAATGGAAAGAAGATAACTTGAAAGCTCAGTCAAAGAGATTGAAAGCTGAGACAGGGAGAAAGGCAGAGATAATGATGGAGATCCAGAGCTAGGGTGCAATGTTGCTGAAGGCTCACACACAAATGGAGGGAGCAGGCCATAGTTATCTGAGCAGAGGGAGTCGTTGGAGAGTTGGGTCATAGAAGGTCGCTTAGATAGTGTGGAAGCATTTAAATAATAATAATCCTTACATTTGATATAATAATAATCCTGGCATTCGATGATAATAATAATCCCTGCATTTGATATAGCGCCTTATCACGTCTTCGAGACGTGCTATATGTACTATAAAGTGGATTGACTGTATATTTTGTGAGCGAAATGCAAGCAATTGTGCACAGCAGTGACCCACAAACAGTCATGGATTGAATGATCAAATTATTATGTTTTAAAAAATGTTTAAAGGGATTATTACCTATGGAAAGTGATCTGCCAATCAACTAACAACCAGGTTCCTACTTACTGCTAGGTAAACAGAGGCATGTGGAGTAACGAAACTTGCCTACGGTTTCGCCCTGCCCGGGAATCAAACCAGGGTCTTTTACATCGGGACAATACCTAAAGAATTTCACAGGATCTATTGTAAAGTGGAGTGACTGAATCTTTGTGGGCGAATGCAATAGCCAACTCGCACACAGCAATGTCCTACAAACAGCCTTGAAGTGAATGAACATTTTATTTGGAGAATTTTTTGCCAGGACACTGGGAGAAACGACCTCTTTTCAAATAGTGCATGGGATCATTAATATCCACGTCAACAGGCAACTGTTCATCCAAAGGACAGCACCACCAACAATGGAGCACACCCCCAGAATTGCACTGGTGTCAACCTAGAGTTTATGAGTTCCAAGACCCAACATGGGGCTTCAACCCACAAACGTCTGACTCGGAGGTGAGAGTCCTATCAGCTGAGCCAGGCTGACACACCAAACACGAGGATTGTGAAGTTGATCACAACTCAGGAGACAATGAAGGCAGCTGAGGATAGGGGTGACAGGTTTGCAGAGTTTAGTGAAGCCGAAAATGTGGGCTGCAGAGTTTGGTATGGTCTGGGCAGGGCATTTGCAAGCTCAAGAGGACAAAGGAGTATTCCAGTGAGATATTGAAGACAGACACATACATATCCAGCTCCAATGCCAAACTTCATATAAAAATGACATCCGTATTTTCATTGTTCAGCATTTTAAAGTTATGAAAGGTCAGCTCTTGGAATTCTTAAAGGATTATTGATCCTCACAAGCTGTAGCAGTTTTAAAAAGACACCATTTTATTTTAATGGATTCATAATTTCTTCCACCTCTGACGCATTGCCAGTCTCCTCCAATACCTCTCCCCAAAGCCGCTGAAACCCTGTGTCAATGCCTTTGTCACCTCTCAGCTGGATTACTCTAACGCCCTCCTCACCGGTCTCCCATCCACTACAGTCCATAAAATCCAAATCATTCAAAACTCTGTCGCCTGCATTCTCACCCACACAAAACTCCGCTCCCCGATCACCCCAGTCCTTGCCATACTGCACTGGCTGCCTGTCCCAGAGAGGATCGACTTCAAGATCCTCACCCTTGTATTCAAGTCCCTCCACTCCTCTGCACCCCCCTATCTCTCTGATCTCCTCTCTCCTCAAAACAGCACCCGTTGCCTTTGTTTCTCCGGGTCTGGCCTCCTCCTCGTCCCCCGAGTCCTCCACTCCACCCTCAGCGGACGTGCCTTCAGCCATTATGCCCCGAGGCTCTGGAACTACCTTCCTCACTCCCTTTGTCTCGCTCCCTCCCTTTCCATTTTCAGGTCTCTGCTTTCTTTTCGACTGCACCTTTGGTCACCAAGGCTTCATCGAGCTTCGCTCAAGGCATGTACCCTGGATATTGTTGTCAATTCTAAAACAATCATGCAACAATTACTTTTTACTTGATTGTTTATTGGATTCTGTCTGCTTTGTAATTAGAAAAAAGATCATTTTAAGGAAATTTATACTTTTTCTCCCAGTTATCCAGATTTTTATTCCCTCCTCATCCAAATTAACACAAATTAATTACCTGCTCATCTCATTGCTTTTGTGGCTTATTGCAGGCAATTCAACATTCACTTCAATTCTAAATCAATTTTAGATAATGTGCTTCAAAACATTTTGTGAAAGAAATAAAAATAAATACAAGTTATTATTTTTATTACCACTGACGGAAACATTCAATCGATAAAAAAACCTCCACAGTAATGCCAACTAAGTTCACTTTGGAAAGTTTCAAAACCTACAGGCTTTTTCACAAGAAAAGGATGTTTTCATTGTCATTGTCAATACTTCAATCTGCTAGTCTCCTAAATGTTTCTTCTGACACATCATTTACTCCACCAATTAGTTTATTTTGATGAGTACACCGAACATTAGATCCCGTTGAAGCAGCTTGAAAAAAACAGTTCAATGGTTTACTAACCAGCAAAATCATTTGCCAAGTTCTTAAACCATCTGCTGCTGTGACCAGACCTTTGCCTCATAAATAGGGCATAATGTTAACATTTTTTTTAGAAAAAAAAAGCCAAAATAGCTTTACAACACAAGCAGCAACACTAAATGCACAATACCCAGAATTTCACACAAAAGGATGCAATCAATGGTGCAGCCCCCTCCAGTGGCAATACAACATCCAATGTGATGCATTGAACAAGTGCTTAGTACAGGTGGAAGGAAGCAAATAGTTCAGAGCACCAAGCATCCAAAGGAAGATTCCAAGTACTTCTTAATTTTCTTTTTCAAAAAGCTTTTTCTTTTAAAACTCAACTAAATAATGTGGAATACATAAGCAAATTAGTCAGCATCTCCAGCTTGAATAAAAATGAATCTTCCCTCAGTGAGGAACACACTTGACAAGAACCACAATGCCCACTTCGTATTACACCACAAGTTGCCTTACTTTCTGTCGAATTCCTTGTAGGCACTCTGTAGCCAACTTAATGATGGTTTGTTGCTGCTCCTCAGCCCATGATGCAAGTAGACCAGAATGTAGTCGCTCTCGACATACTGGTCCAGAGTGTACTTCATATAACTGAAGGGTAGGAACAGGTGACAAAAAAAATCAATGAAAATATATTCACACAATTCAATCCATGAATCTCCAGAAGACCCCTTTCAACACAATTCTACTGTTTAGGAATCCTTAATAAGCTAGGTGCTTAGTTTGAGTGAGCTCCTGAAAGACAGCCAGCATCTTCGAAGAAAGGTTGGGGGGGGGGGGGGGGGGAGGGGGTGCGGAGAGGAATCAATCAACCAACAACAACAACAACAACATGCATTTATAGAGCGCCCGTCATGCAGGATAGTACTCAACAGTTATGGAGCCTGATGCCAAACTGGGTGGAGGGAAAGGAGATGACTGGAGGAGATAAAATCATTTAAAAAAAGAAACTAGCTTCAGTGTGTGCCTATTTAACACCACATGGTGGCACTCCAGTCAGATCAATCTGTAATCAGTGCATAATTAAATGTTTCCTCACGTTTGGAAGCCTAGTTTATTCCAATGTAACCGTTCATGAAACAAAGCTACAGCAGACTGACCTATCAACCCCAACAGTCCAATTAATCTGCTGGCAGGTAAGCACCACTGAATTAAAAATGTTTTAGGACAATAACCCAAGTTAATCTTTTGAAAAAAAATGATATTCAATAAACCATCGTTTAATGATAAAGAAATCTCACTCCTTTGACTGCTGAAGATAATTTCACTCTTCTACAAATTTACTCAACAAAAAAGGTAGAATTGAAAGAAAATGATACAAATGATGTGCAGAAAGTAGGGCAGGTGAACAGGGAAGAAGAGCGTTAAAGGAAGAAATTAAGGCAAACCATGGGTAAAGCTTTCTTCATAATTATATAAGTGTTAATAATGTTTTATCAGCTTTACTCCTGCAATGTTCATTTTTTCCCCCTACTATCATGAGTGTGAGCCCAAAACTTAGAATCTGTCAAAATTGGTCAGTCCAAGGAAAGATTCCTTGAATTGCTTGCAGTCTAAGGGTTAAATCAAGATCAATTTGTACGCAATATAAAATGCAAAATACAAAAATCATTTCCCACAATCAGGAAATTGAAACAAGAGCTTTGAAAGAAATTTAAAAACGCCTTGTGAGAAATACGATAGTCTATTATATCCTTATCAGTGAAGATAGCAAATTAAGAATGGAACACGTCATTATAATGAAACAATTGCTATTTTTAGCGATTTCACCGATTACGATCACTTCATTTGAAAGAAATTTCCTGGCAAAAAAGGAAATTGCTAAACTATTGCGTATTTAGCAAGAAAGCAAGCATGATACCGCCTTATAACAATGTAACACTTGGGATCGCCGAAGAATGACTGGATTTTTGATAGTTGAGTCAGGAACTTACCCCAGCAATTTCTGATGGTTAAGTTGATGGGAAGGAGGCATTCGGCAACAACTAAATATAATCAGTTTCCTTCCATAATTGTCATCACCTAAATGGAAAAGAAATCAAATAAAACTTGGCTTTCTACATATGAATGTGTACATCAAAGAGTCAGAGGATTTTTTCTGTTCCAAGACTTTATGTTTTGAATCAGTGTTAACTAAAACATATCACAAGATCAGGCAAAATTCTGTAGATGCTGGAAATCTGAAATGAAAACAGAAGCTGCTGGGAACACTCAGCAGGTCAGGCAGCATCTATGGAGAGAGGAAAGTAAGTTAACGTTTCAGGTTGATGACCTGTTGTCAGAACAGCTGTTGTCAGAGTCAGGAACAGAAGTTCTGATGAAAGATCACAGGCCTAAAACGTTAACTCACTTTGCTCTCTCCATAGATGCTGCCTGACCTGCTGAGTGTTCCCAGCAACTTCTGGTTTTATTTCATAAGATCGGGCCTTGGATTCCATTTATGTCACACAACCGGAACTGTATGCACTACTCTAAAACTCAAGGTGCACCCTGACCAGAGCATTATTTTGCTTAAGTATGACATCTCGGATCTGAACGCAACAGGTTTGGCAATGTACCCGTCTGCTTTGTTTATTGTTGTCTCACACTGTTTTGACATAGTGAGCGATGAATCAACAACTACAACTTGCATTATTATAGAGCCGGCACACAGGGTAGCGTACTGGAGCTCTTGACAGTGGTGGAATCTGTCCCCGAGCCAGGGGGAGAGGGAGGGAGGAGGTGACCGTAAGCACAATCAAAAAGGAAGGTCTTTAGGTGGGATTTGAAAGTTGGGAGGGAGGGAGGGGGCAATGTGGAGGGATTGAGAGTGGGAGTTCCAGAGCTTCGGGATTGTAGTGGCTGAAAGCATGGCCGTTGGTGGAGCGAAAGAGGTGAGGGACAAACAGGAGGCTGGAGCCGGCCGAGCGGAGACAATGGGTGGTGGATAAGTAAATCAGGTAGATAGGGAGGTGCGAGGGCATGAAGAGATTTGAAAACTAAATTGATTTGAATCAACGAAAACCCCGAATCCAGGTCATTACTATATACAGGAAAGTGATCCCTGAGCTATCTGATTAATACCATGGATGTTTGTGGGACTTCATGGTTGTGTGTGGGACACTGCTGTATGTAGGTTGGCTGCCAAATACACAGTAACTCCACTTTACAGTGAATCCCGAGTCATATTTGAGATGTCCTACTGACATGAAAGATGCTAAACCAAATATAAGGATTGTTGTTATTTAGAATTTGGACACAGGTGTTCTTTTTAAGAAGTGCGCAAAACTGTCTATCAAATTGTAAGAGTTTCAATAAACCAGCGCAATTTAAGCTTCAGACACAATGGCTACAGCCTAAGCCTAGGTAGGACTTTGCGCTTATTGTAATGTCATGTTGCTGTAAAGAGATTGATGAATTTTCCTGCAACTAATACTCATGATTATTTTGGAATCGACATTTGGCATTCAAGGATTTAAGTTTTTTTTAAAAAGGCAGTTTTGGCACCTTGTGATTTTATTAAAAAAGTGTTTCCTTCAGATGTCTGAAAGGATTTTTTAATATAAAATCTAGCACAGACACGATGGGCTGAAAGGTCTTCTTCTGTCCTGTAAATGTCTATTGTTATATAATACTGTAATAATACCTGCATTTGATATGGTGGCTTATCATATTGTTGAGACTTCAAAGCGTTTCACAAGATATACTATAAAGCGGTGTGACTGTGTGTGCTTAGTGGGTGAACGGGTATTGCACAATATGACACATTCCCTCCCACCTGCTATTTGTATGATTCCGTGCCTTGCCACATCATAGAAAGGATGCCCAAGGTCCACGGGAACTTCTCCAGTAAATGAAACAGATGTCGAGATAGCACTCCCTTCGCCACTCACGATCCTCTGCTCCTCCTCTTCTTTCCGAAATTCTATCAAAGATACAATTCTGGGTTGAAAAACAGTTTGGGGATCCCCAGGTGGTCGTGTACTAGGAAGGGAAAAAGGAATTACGTGTTCCACAATCAGGCACCTTCCACTGGCCAGATCCAAACAGCACTGGTGGAAGTGTTGGATGAAAAAGCAAATCTCCTCTCTCGCTGGGAATTTAAAAAGTCCCATTGGGTAATAGTGAGCTTCTCTTACAATTTATTATGTGCACCATTTTGGACCGATTATAACTGTTCAACATGTATTACAACATCTATTTGTGCATGATAAGTAGGGAACTATTTATTGAAGCTTCAAACTACCACAAGAGAGGAAACGAGCGCAATGTCACCTTACAGAATCTTAAAATCTATTGTGTTCCGTAAATTACATCAATAACTCGGTCACATATGTGAAACTGGCCTCTGAAATCAGACACCATTTATTCACTACAGAACGCATCACCACACAGTATCGGACTGTTTGCGGTCCTGGAATGCATCATGAGGGCGAGACTATGGGTAAAGAGTAACATAATCATATGGAATGCACTCTTGGATTGCTTGCGCACACACCCAACATACCAGACTTTTAAGGCCTTAAAGCAATAGATGCTTTTGTGATTCAGGCAGATGGACACTGCATTCTGGGAGCTCAAAGTGAGTGAGCATAAAATAGTTTTTGCTCCTGAACACTTTGGAGTGACTCCCACTTGAAAGAATGGCTGTTAGATGAGACCAGGAGCGGGTTTGGCATTTACCTTTTGTGAACCTCCTATGTTGTGAAAGTTACAGTAGACTTCTATAGCTGGCACTTACTTGTCCTCTGATTTCCCAACCCCATCTCTGTTCACATTCAGGAAATCTCTTACTTCGCTGTTAATTCCCGGCGAAATAAACTCCCTGTTAATTATATAAAATTCTTATAAACTTACCTTCTTCAGCCAACCGCTCAAGGTTCATGATGGCTCCTCACACAGCATTGAATACGGTGGGAATTCAGTTCAGTTATGGACTTTTGTTGATCAAATCGGAAACCAGGAAAGGGGGTGGGGGGAGAAAGAAAGGAAAATATAATGTTTTTAAAAAAAGATTAAGACAATTAGTCCAGCAGCAATTTGGTTATGATTTGGCAACTACACTTGACAATGGCTACCTTTTTTCACCTTATAATCCACCATGAGGCTGGGAGAGATTACAAAGTGAAAAAATTGAGTTATTTAACTGAGCTCCAGTAGCAATCAGAGCAGTAATAATTTGCAACTTCCAGCAGTGAAATGAGGAACTCAGAGGGAGTCTCCCATCATAATCATAATAATCCTTGTATTTGATATAGCGCCTTATCATGTTATTGAGATGTCTCAAAACTTTAATCAAACTCTCATACAAGTAATTCTTACCATAAAGACCACGCTTTCAAAAGAAACTCTTTTTCTGGGATGGTTATTTTCAGATAATATTGCCACAGACAAGTAGACTTGATCCAATCATCTACCCCCAACCCCATAATAATAATAATAAAAATTGCAGATTCAATACTGAAAACAAGTTCACCAGTCAGCATTTCTGCATTCACTGTACAGTCGCACAGAAAATCTCGCTCATTTCAAATCACCAACTGGCTTTTTGTATGCTAAAAACTGGCCAACTTCTAAGGCACCCAGTTGCTGCTGATGGGACTTTCTGCACAGATAGGGTGGCAACCCAATGACCTGGAAGTTGACCATGTTATGGAGTGCAAAATACAAACTGGCTTTCCGGTGTATTTTGGATTTTTGCTAAGTAATTGTTGTAGTCCGAACCCGAATCATGCATCATGAAGTGAATTATAATGGGCTTCCACTGTATAACTACAATAAACACACACTGCATCCAGCGAGGCAAATAAAGCACATGTGATCTATTCGGAACTAAGCTGTATGAAAAGTGAAACTAAAAATCTTTTCTTATACAACTTCAATTACAATCAAGTAGCAATCAGAGAAGATTCCGCCTCCAATATAATATACTGTATTGGTCTGCTGTTTCATAAACCTCATTCACTCGTTTTTCACACATCAATTCATGAGAACAGGTGTTATTACAACACTACAAACATGATCAACCATTTTACAGCATTGCCTCTTTAAGAGGTTTTCTGCTATAAACAAGCTTTACCATGTGACTTCCTAACAGACTCCTGTTTGTGGGAGTTTGCGCTGGCAGTAAGCCTACTTATGCCATACAGCTTGATAGACATTCACAAGAAAGCTGGACTTGACAACTCAATTTGTAGATTTTTTATTGATTTCTACACTCCGAGCTCTAATATAACCAGTCAACTCTAAATAAGGAGAGAAATAAATAGGTCACCTCTCCTCATTCCAGTTCCTTGGCAGAAACAAAAAGTTCTTCAACCTCAAAGTCTACAGGATACCTATGAACGTATTAAAAATTGTTACAATGCCTTATAACATCAAAACATCTCAAACTCTTTCACATTAATTACAGTTGTTCAATTACTTTACATTCAATAGACACATTTACTTCCATGTCTTAGGCCCTATTTGGATAAAGAAACATGCAGGTATTCACTAAGTGTATTTGGCAGATACCTACTTGTCTCCTTTTCCAAACAGGGGCTAAGACAAGTAAAGTTGTCTAACGCTCATATAATGCTTGTGATAAACTGTTGTCGTCTCATCAATAGTATTTGAATCATCATTTTCTTTATCATCTGTAATTGATCTGATCCACTAATCATTGTAACGGAGTGCTTCATGACCATACAATCCTAAGAGTTATAAAGGGAAATAACTGAATTTATCGGTATCTTTCACTCACCTCGTTTGTTGTATTCCATCCTCTAGCATGGTTAGCTTGCGCCAGCCTGAGAGCAGAGATTTTATGTAGCACTCCCTGATGTGACATCAGAATGTTCTGCCCCATTAACACCATTAATGGGGACAATGGAGCATGAATAGCACTTACCATTCACAACACATCACATGGCGTTTTACACAGAATGACTGATCTTAATTTGGCAGTTCTTAAGAACACAGCTAGAATAAGAAATAACTATAGATAAATAAATATCAAATTTGCTGGGCTTTACAAAACGCATACCAAATAATTATGTTCCCACTGCAATACTTGTACCGTATTCCCATCCCTTTCCGGGTATTCCAAACCCTTTCCATGAGCAGCAACTCCTTTTGCAACAATCACATCAAGCAAAAGTGTCCTCCTACTCCTCTTAGCACGACCTGCACCATTTGCAATATTCCCCCTTTGCAATCCGCACACAAGGTGAATATGCTCTCCTCCCCCTCCTGAAACACCCACACCAGATAACACTGAACTCAACTCTCCCTTTGCTTTGTTTTGGTCAGGCAGGTGTCTGACACACATGTAAACCCATCACCATGCATCCAAACCATACTATTCAAAAATACACACATACATTAAAATTATTTTTTTTCTGTAATGGAGTACTCTCTTGCACCCTGCTCATCCAATGCCAGAAACTTTAACCGCAGGTTGGCAAGAGCCAAGGCTTGGGTACCTCAAAGTGTCTGCTGGCTTAGTGCTAGAATTAAAACTCCCATGTTGTTTTTCCTAAGGTGCACTGACCAACAACTGAAGCATGTGGAAGAATAATGATATTGTATTTAGAAGCACATAATTGTATTCCGTACAAGTGTTTAACCGTACTTAATAATCCCCTAAAAAAATTATTTGGTCACTCAATCCATGACTGTTTGTAGGACACTGCTGTGTGAAATTGGCTGCCACGCTTTGCCCACAAAATATACAGTCAATTCACTTTACAGTATATTCTGTGAAGCATTTTGAGATGTCCAGAAGATGTGATAAGACGCTATATCAAATGCAACGATTTTTATTATCTAAAAGCATTGTAGCTTGTCATTGCAAACTCTGGCAAGCTTCGTGCTGGATGCTCAATCTTGGACCACTGCTTGGACTACCCTACCTGTTGCCTGGTAGAATTAATAGCGCTAAATCGGAAGAATCTCAACTCCCTCAGAGCAACAGACTGGTCTATTGCTGCTCCAAGTTCTGTTTGATCAGGCCAGACGCCTGATCGGTCAACAATGCCTTGGAGTACAGGAGACTCAGCAATCATACAACCACAAGAGAAGACAGACTCCAATATTCCACTATCCAGCACGTCAGTAAACTCAGCCCCAAAGAGAACTCAGCTAGCCCCCTCCTCCCCACCATTTCAATATGTTGAAATGCCAGCCCCCTTTACAAGACCTACACCAGCTATTAGTGCCCCTTTTACACATCTTTGTCAGCTAATGGTACTACTATTTTGTGGAGTCTTGTAGCTCAGCGGTTAGAGAACTCGCCTCTCAAGCGAGAGACCTGGGTTCAATTCCCGGCAGGACGAAACCTTGGGCAAGTTTCTTTACTCCACACGCCTGATAATAATCCCTCAAGAAAGAAAAACAATAATAAATTGGTCACTTCAATCCACGACTGTTTGTGCGACGCTGCTGTGCGCAATTGGCTGCCGCATTTCTCCCACAAATATACAGTCAATTCACATTACAGTATATTCTGTGAAGCGCTTTGAGTCATCTAGAAGACATGAACAGCCCTATATCAAACGCAAGGATTACTATTACTATTTCCACTGAATACTTGTACAGCCATCGATGCCCCTTCACAATCTTTACCAGGCAGTTATGGCCCCTTATGAAAATCATGCCTGATTTTTTGTTGTCCCATTTGCAAAACCGGTCACACTTTCCATTCCAGATGACATGATGCGCCCACTGTGGCATGTCGGAATCCCCCTCCCACCCTTCAAAGAGGTGCCACCACCGTACGGCAATGATTGGTACGATTTTTACGAATCGTTTTAATACGCTCTTTGAAGTACGAATGGTTTCGAACTTCACGATATTTGCTTGAAGAACCAAATTAGCGTGCACGGCTACAGTGAGACTCCTCATAAACCGTGGCCCACGGACTGACCCAATTAAGTTCGGGTCAAACTCCAGAGCAGCTGCTCTCCTAACAAAAGACCACGCCATTCCTCTTCGATCAGCCTGGCTCGGCGACAGCACTCTCGACTCTGAGTCAGAAGGTTGTGAGTTCAAGCCCCGGTATCGGCACTTGGGAGTTGCATAGTCCAAGCTGACTGCCTAAGGAGAAGTTTCCGCCTGTGTCCTGGCCAACAAGCCCCCCAAATAAAATCGGCCGCTCACGCCGGGGCTGTTCGTGGGGACGAAGTGAGCCGCCGCCTTTTGCCCCACGAAATATCCGGTTAACCCACTATTACGGCAGATCGCGTGAAACACTTGGCGGAGAGGTCTCGGCAGCGCGATTACGGCGCTATTATCAAATAATAATAATATTATTATTATTATTATTAATGGGAGTGAAAATTAAACAACTTCTCTTCCCCCCCCCACCACCCACCAACCAAACCACCACCAAAACAAGTTGCTTTGGAGCAGCAAAATACATACACACACATACATACACACACACATACATATACACACACATACATATACACACACACATATACACACACATACATATACACACACACATATACACACACATACATACACACACACACATATACACACACATACACACACACACACACACACACACACACATACATACACACACATACACACACATATATATACACACACACATACACACACACACACACATATACACACAAACAAAAAAAACCACACATACAACAACCAACAGCAACAAGTGAAGACTTTTGGTTGTGAATAAAGAACAGTTTGCAATGGTTGGCAAAGTGGGAGGAGGTGCGGCCCCGGGACCGGGACCGGGAGGCGGAGGCGGTGGAAGGCGCTTAAAGATACTGAGGGGGAAAAGAACCTACTCCCAAACGTGCACTTCCTGCCACTCGCTGCCTGTTGTAGGGTCTCGATGCCCCTTCCCCTCCCTACCTACCTGCCCTCTCTCCCCCTCTCCCCTCCCCCTCCCCCCCCTCTCCCCCTGCCCCCCTCTCCCCCTGCCCTCTCTCCCCCCTCCCCCTGCCCCCTGCCCCCCTCTCCCCTCCCCCTCCCCCCTCTCCCCCTGCCCCCTCCCCCCTGCCCCCCCTCTCCCCCTGCCCTCTCTCCCCCCTCTCCCCCTGCCCTCTCACCCTGCCCCCCTCTCCCCCCCCTCCCCTCCCCCTGCCCCCCCTCTCCCCTGCCCCTCTCCCCTGCCCCGCCCTCTCCCCCTGCCCTCTCTCCCCCTCTCCCCCTGCCCTCTCACCCCTTGCCCCCTCTCCCCCTCCCCTGCCCCCCTCTCCCCCCCCCCCCCCCCTGCCCCCCTCTCCCCTGCCCCCTCTCCCCCTGCCCCCCCTCTCCCCCTCTCCCCCTGTCCCTCACCCCTTGCCCCCCCTCTCCCCCCCCCTCCCCCGCCCCCTCTCCCCCTCCCCCGGTCCCGGCCTCACGGGGAGACTCACCGACACACGCGGAGCGGCTCCGGGGACTGTACCTGTGGGCGTCGCTTTGGGCTTTTTAAAGGGGAAGCGACCATCGTTCCGGACAATCCGTGTTTTTTTTTCGGCCGACTGAAAAGTTTCCACACGAGGAGAGAACCCACCTGTGTACAGGTGAGTGAGAGAGTGAGTGAGAGAGAGAGAGAGAGAGAGACAGAGAGAGAGAAAATACACACACACACACACGTCAAATTGTCTGCACCAGGTTTAAGTTTTATTATTATTATTATTAAGTAATATTATAAGTAATTATTATAAGTAATTAAGTAATATTATTATAAGTAATTATTATAAGTAATTAAGTAATATTATTATAAGTATAAGTATTATTATTATTAATGAAATCTGCCCTCACATCTTGAGGGCGTCACATCTGAGATATCAGGTTTCCAATAAGTTGTGGTTTCAGCATTTTTTTGGGGGGGAGGAAGGGAGGAAGGGAGGGGGGCAGAGCCAGGATTGGTGAAGCTGAAATGAAACACACACCACACACACAAAAAAAGTGAGCACTGTGGCAAATAATAGCAAAAGTGATCTGTTGTGTTGCTCTCGTTTGTGCAACGTTTACAAAACAATCCTAAATTAGTTGTAGCAATGTTCCCAACATCCACATGTATAATATTATTGATCCTCACGGAAACCTGAATCACCCCCCACCATGCCCCACGCCCCAACCGCCGTGGCGGTGGTGTGGCCCTTATCTCCCGGGTGTCACTTGCCCTATCCCCCTACTCTGCTGGCTCATTCCCCTCTTTTGAACACCTTACCCTCTGCCATCCCTCCCATCTCTCACTGAAAAATCACCTAATTTACCGCTCCCACCAACTCCTCCCCCACCTTCATCTCTGACATTCTCCACCCTTCAAGCTTCCCTCTGCCTCTGCTCTGTCCGCCTCATATCCTAGGCGACTTCAACCACCTTTTCCTCTAGCTCCTCAGACATCTCCTCCTCTACTCTCTCAACCTCTCCCTCCACATCCACTCTGCTACCCACCTTTACGGCCACCCGCTCGACCTGGTGATCACCCGGGGCCTCAGTGTCTCAGATGTCTCATCACTGACAAGGCCATCTCTGTCCACCATTTAATCTCCCTCAACTCCTATATCCCTCCCCACACTGCCTCCAAACCTTCCACCATCTTCTACCGCCCGTGGAAGAAGATCTTCCTGCAATCCCTCTCTGCTGCCCTGAAGTCCTCTGAAGTCCTCCCCCTCTGGCACCAACCCATCCTCTGCGTTTACTCTCCTCCACAGCACCCTCTCCACCACACTTGACGCCCTTGCCCCCCTCACCTCCCGAACTGTCGAACTGTCTCCTATTCCTGATCCTCACTCTGGTTCACCAGCCACCTCCGCTCGCTCAACAGCCAGGTGCGGGCTGCCGAACGCACTTGGCTCAAATCCGGCCTAACGGTCCACCGGCACATCTGGCTGGACCACATCAAAACCTACCGCTCTGCCCTCGCCTCGGCCAAATCATCCTTCTACTACTGGAAGTGAAGGGCAAACCTAGGCTCCTGTTCTCCACCACCAACCGGCTCCTCCTCTTTCCCCTCCACACCTTGCAGATTCTTTCCTCCGACTCCCACTGTGAGGAAATGCTGGACTTCCTCGAGTCCAAAATCGAGAGAGTTCGCTCAGCTGCCACCCCATCCCTACACACCCCCCCCCCCCCCACACATTCCAGTTACTACCAATCCCTCCTTCCACACCTTTGAATCTGTCTACAATCCCTCCAAAACAAAAAACAATAATAAGTTGGTCACTTCAATCCACGACTGTTTGTGGGACACTGCTGTGCACAATTGGCTGCCACATTTCGCCCACAAATATACAGTCAATTCACTTTACAATATATCCTGTGAAGCGCTTTGAGATGTTGCGAAAACGTGAAAGCGCTATATCAA